TTTAGTGGTGTTAGGTATGTAAGAATATGGTCATATACTCATATCATATAATTTTAGCTTTTAGAAGTATACTTTAAAAGTCAAAATGTTTTGTTTAAATTTGAAATAAAGTCTTATTCCAACGATAACTACCTACATGATCTAATATTACTTTAAAATTTGCTTGACAACAGCTTATACTATTATTCATACATCTGTTACATAATTTAGTGTTACGAAAATAAATATTATTCATCCATACATCTATACATTGGGTATACCAAATATAAAGGTTAATAGGTTGTTTCATTTATAATAGGTATATGATATATGAAGGTGTTTTTACCTGAATTAAGAGACTGTAAGACTCTTAAGCGCAACTTGTGGGGTAGGAGCTAGGAGCTTAGAGTCCTCAAGATTAATCTTAGAACTTGTATAATATCAATTCAAAATTAATAAATAATAATTAATAATAATGGAAGAATTTAGGAGGACATTTAATGGAAAATAGGTAATACCTAAGTCACTACCCTATCGGTTCCATGGTTCATAAAAAAAATAGACCAAACTAGTGGCAAAGAGGGGGGGGGGTCGTGCCTTCTTGACATTCTAATATTTTATAATTTAGGAAAAGATACTCTAAAATAAATAATGTGTAAATATTTTCAATTTTATACACAAGATATTGTATGTGTAATTATTACTATCAGAACTCGTATGGGTAGATAAAGTTATACTAGACACGGGTAGATGGATTACTAGAATGACGTAATGATAATACTCTTGTATAAAATACATTTTAGTGTTAACAAGAAAACAAATATCAGCAATAAATAAACCAACAATAAATTATTAACTTTTATTAAAACTATAATTATAGCCTTAAAAACCTTGGCCCGATTAATTAATTTTTATGAAATATGATTAACTTAATATGCTATTATAACAACGATTATAACAATTTGTTTTCAGCAAATTTATTATTCATGAGCATGATAGCAATACAGCCTATTACTAATAGGCAATAACATTGCAACTAGGTAATGCATCCAAAACATTTTTATTGCTTTTTTATATATGGCTGATGGCTATTTAAATATTTTGTTTATTTACTGTCCATCGTTATTTTATTTATTGCATTTGTGTAGGTATAGTATTTTTGTTTTATTCGTATTTCGTATGCGCCCATACTATGTGACAGTAATAATTAACTAGTGATAGCCATAACCATCAAAAGTGCTAAATGCTAATTACAGATAAACGACTTTTAACACTTTAATCGTATTCTGTGTTTGAGTTAAATTTGACTGTGATGTAACAGATTTCATAACGATTTTCAAGTTCAACTTGTACGTCCACACTCCACTACTCTCGAATGCCCCAAATATTATATCAAATATTATTCACTCATAAATGTGTCCGAGCTGGAGAGGTGTGATCAGTGGAAGCTACACGAATATTGTATACTTGTATACCACACACTAGGTTCGAAGTACCAACAATGAAATTGTCACTTTTATGACACAGAGAAAAAGTTTAAGTTTTCGATTCTTGCGATAAAAAATTTTTGAAAAGAAAAGACCGTACAGAAATAATATTTACAGCTAGCAGGGGACCCCCGCTTCGAAAACGATCAAACGAGTCTAAAAATATTATTCGGTTTTACTGAGTTTACCTATGCGATGTCGCTGTATTTTGAGTTTTGACAAGAACTTGTCGCAGTATACAGATTACATTTTATAATATTATACTATTAAATTTGAATCCAATTAAAAATATGTTATGTGATTTCTGTATTATACAACTAATAAAAAAAAAAGTAACTGTAAATTGTATAATATTAACGTCGTTGCTATATAATATGTCACTTAACTTCATCATGTAAAACTAGTATTTTCTGTTCCTAGCCAAAAACTAAACCAAAATATGTTGGACATATTATATTGTACGCACGTAATCCGAGCTTTGGCCTTAGCTTAGACTACACAATTAGGTACATAAAAATAGAACAAATGGTATAATAAATGCATGACGTATCCATAGTATCTCCGTAGACGAAACGTTCTAAATTGTTTACTTGTGAATATGATGTATATTATACTTGTTTACTAGTTTTCATTGAAAATTAATTGATGATTTTTCAACAAAAGTGTTTTTGTTACTCAAGTCTATTACTAAAGGTCGTTAAAAGAATCTAAATATATTATATTATATTATGGTCCTTAAGTGAAATAAACATTTCAAAAATCAGAAACTAAATTAATTAATTAAGAAGCTAGCTAGAATCTTGCTAGGTGCAGGCTCATTCTGTATAGTTAAATTACGTGACAAAATCGATCACAGCAGTGGTAAATTTTTTCCAAATTTCGGGACAACAGTTACACTTATAACTCTGCTTCTCGTGTTTTCATGTCATAGCCTTCAGATCATCACAAATCACTGAACAATATTTTATTTCCATTTATGTCTATTTGATCGATTTACTCATTGCTCGCCTATTTGACCGTAAACTAACATTTTAGACTTACACATAAGTACATAACTGCTTATCTATATAAGTAAAATATACTTGGGTTGAGTCATTGAAAAATTAAAAAGGCGCATGACAGATAAACTTCTCTGAAATGTACACGGCACAAATAATTGGTCATTATCAGGGCCACATTTACTTTTTGTCTCAAGTGGAAATTTTAAATTATTACAATTTTTAATTAACCAGGAAAATTTTTTATTTTTTTTACCTAATAAAACACAATTTTGTTTTCTTTTTAATTTTTTGTGAGTGGTACCAATCTTTAATCTTATTGGTAAAGATAAAGAAGGCAAGACTCCTCCCTCTACCAAATTTCCTAACCTGAACCTAACCTAATCTGTCTATACTATCAATAGTTATAAGAGTAATTAAAATATTTATTTAAGTGTATACATCATTAGTGATTAGTTAATAGTTGAGTTATTTGCCTACCTAATTATACTTAAAAATTAAGACCCGAAATATTAATATTATAAAATAATATTTATTATATGAATAGAATATTTATAGCAAATTGTATTTGAATCAAAATATAATTATGTATTAAATTATTGTATATGAAAAACAAACATTTTATTCATCAATTATTACATTTTGGTTTATAGCTCAACAAATAATATTGTAATATTTTATGAATACAGTTTTATATAAATAATTAGTTAATATTTTTGTAATAATGATGATGTTGATTCTTATTTATCGAAAGCTTAATATTAATACTCAATAGGAATATTTTTATCGTTTTATAATACAATTTGACTGTTCAGAAAGGATCACTTCAGTCTGTGTTGTTTATTTTCCAAATTATCTTTAGATACACTTACTCAGTACTGATTATTGACGGTAAAAAATATAGATATAGGTATTAAGTTCACACAATTTTCTCTTTTTATACGATCTTGTGTAATTCACAATTATGTTTGTTCATTAACAAAATATTTTTACCACAGAAGCATAAGGTGAAGTGAGGTAATTATAAATAGATAATGCAATATTCATAAAGGTAATTGAATATTGTCTGTATTATTTTACTTTATTTTGTTTCTGTGCAATCAATTAATGGCTCCTTCAAAAATAACGACTCACAGCGAATATACAAAAATAAAATTCAATGTTTACAACAAAATTGACCGATAGAAAATTATTTTGGTGAGGTAGGTAGTTTGTGAGTCATATGTTCCTGTAAATAGCATGCAAAAATTGTACCTGGAGAAATTTTGAATATTCTAATTATTCTATCAAATATAATCGATTCCTAATAAAGTTAATAGTTTCAAGTGTGAATTATTAACGACTTTACAATTGCTCCATTTCATTGGGCCACTATAGCCAATAGGTCAATAATTGTAAATAACAATTATTTCTAATCATTTTTAATGAACCTTGTAGGCTCATTTATTTACTTGACCTTATATATTAATATAATAACGAATCCTAAATAAAGAAAAATATTTTTTATATATTCCTCAACTTTAAATTTACATTAACCCCTCTCCCAGTATTGTAAATTTTTTAGGAGGAAATATAAATATTTTTGGATCATTATATACGAACGATCCCAACAATTTCCAGAGTGAAATTGTATTTTACACACAAATACACCATAAGAACGATAACAAGACTAAGTTGGAATTGCTACATATATTTTTGAATGCTTTAATTCAGTCGATTATTGTTGGGTACAAACATAGTGACAGGCAGTTATGTGACAATCGGAAAAAAAGAAGGGGTAGGTATTATCACTATTATCAGATGAAGTATTGTATCACATTATATGAGTTGAATACAAATGCACTACCTATACCAAAATATGTTTTTACTTTGATTTAATAAAATGTTTGAAATTATCAAATGATAACATTATTTGGGTTCTCGAACACTTTAATACAATACATAAATACTATTTAATTGTATGTTCTTATCACTCATATTTTACAATATATGTATATTGTATCGACGACTTCGTCGTACAAAGGACAACGATTGAAAAGGTATGAGTACAGTATAAAATATTTTATTATACAATAATAAAATTGTTTTGATAATAAAATGAAAACAAATCTTCGTGTACTCGTGTAGTAAGGTACTGGTGTGAGCTATTCAGTTTTAAATAAATAGGACTATACAAATAATACAATATTGTTATATAAACATATGTTAGTGATATGCTAACACACATAATAATACAATTATATAGCTAACTTCAAACTTGCGTCCCCTTTATAAACTATTATTATTATTATCATATTGCAACGTAGATGTAATTGTAATGTATAGTATAGGTATGAATATTAAATTTGTCGTGGACTAGGTTTGTTTTCGTTTTACATTTAGATTGTGTACGAATGAGAATTTATGAAAAATGGTCCTAAAAAAAAAAACTCTGGAAATGTTATATGTGTTTTATATATTATATACATATTATTACAAAATTATATTTTCTGTTTACCTAAATACATTTTAATTATTCTTTTCTTGTGTGTTTTAGGTGTTAAACAAAACGACATATTGTTGTCAAACACGATTCAAGGATTGTTTTTCGCAAGTCCTCCGATGGCTGTGTTAAGCAGTTCAAACGAACTATGCAAGAACCACAGTCAAATTTATTTAAGAGAATTAGAAAAATTAACAATATGGGCATTAAGAAGTAAATGAAATTGTTTTTATAATAAAAATGGTTTGTCGGATGAAAAGTATTTTAACTAAAATGTTGGTTGAATAATCGAGTTATAATGTATATATAATATATATTATAATGTTTATTTAGAATCTAGGTAATCATTAACATGGGTATAATATTGTAGGAAATAGGAATTCGGTGCTGGGTGTTGGAAAAATACTTTTGAAACACCTACATAATAATATACATATGAGTGAATATAAATAATTCAAATTTTAGGTTTCTTTGATATTTTTATGATAATATCATTTTGTGGTGTTTTCGGACAATCAGTATTGTGTTATTTTAGTAAATATCGACGATACGATCGAAATTATTTAAATGTTGTTTTGTTAGGTAATTAATTCACTGATGTAGCGTCGCAGCACGGGGCGAGGAACAATCACGTTTTCTATTGTTGCGAATGCGGTTGTTGTTTTAAACACGTCGATTACTATAATATCTCAGTTTAGCGTAGGTAAGTAGGTACCTACGTATATAGGCTTTGTAACTCGATCAATACAGTTTTATAAAGTGTTAAATGGGAACACTAGAAATAAGATAAATTGTATTTTCATAACCAATTCTAGAGCGCCATTGAAAGTTAACACTTGTATACGATACTCTGTGCAGTCATATAGAAATAGAAGTATTTGAATAATTTTTAAGCATACAAATATTTTAATAGCTTAAAAACTATAAATAAATAAATTGTCCTACACACTTAAGTGTTCACAATTTTTTCCTCTTAAACGTGATTACTGATTAGAATGTGAATTTTTTTAAAACGCCTAATAACTTTATAGCATATTATGAATGTACCCGTAGGGCATAGACTATAACCATATTATAACAATACTAGTTTTTACAACCAAATACACTCGAACCAAAATGGTTTCGTCGTTCCTTGTAAGTTTAAAATCTAAATAATGTCTGAATCGTTGAATAAAAAAAATATTGTAAATCAAGAAAATAACATTCACGTGCAAATCCATGCAAATAAGAAAAAATAAATACACTTTTTTTTGTTAGTCTTTCATTATAATCAAATAATCAAAACTTTATTATTCTCGTAATAAAAGGTTTTTGAACCGTATGCATTCGCATTTTATAATTAGTTTAAAATGCAGCTAGATAAGCCACACACTTTATTCCAATTCTTCTGATTCTATTTGCAAAATTCTATTTTTCATGTTTTTCAATGATTGTAACATTTTAGTTATAACATATAACACATTATTTACATTGTTTGATAATAAAATCCATACATTGAAAAAATGGGTTTTTTTTAAAACATTTTATACCCAACTGCCCATTAATTGTCAACTGTAAAATAAAATCTCTCTGAGATAACAAATACAAAATATTATAAATACCTAGTACATATTTAATAAGTTTATTTAAAAAATTAATTTTTGTTCCAACCCATTTTTTAAGACGTGTGAATCAAAAAAATTTATTTACAATAACATTCCAAAATATTCACTACTTCCAAGGTGTTTTATATTATGAATCGTAGGAATTCAATGTGAAAATACAGTGCACATTTTTTAAATACTTATGTTTAGTTAATTTTGCTTAAATATTTTTTAAACAGAATTGTTTTTAATTTAAGTAGGCGGAAACATTTTAGTTTAGAGTTATTTGGATAACATTATGTTGATGACGAAAAGTGCATAAAATAAAAACGCATGCGGCATGCACGCATTTGCATATTCCTTTTAGGAATACGTCGAGTGGTCGTCTTGCAAATTATTTTGATATAAGTAGGTACCCACAGCTAACTACAATTTGTAGAAGCTGTGTCCTGGTACTTTTTTATTATATTATATCGGACGGAATTTGCGACGCCACTCGGTATATTGGAGAGTGTCGACGTGCGTTCTATAATATACTGGAGGTTATTTTTCAAGTTCGGCTTAATACCTATATACCAAATACAATACCACACAATACTCCTTGTACAATGCACACCTGTGTCCATATTATACGTCGTGTACCTGCCTATATAGTTCCACCTGTTCCGACTAGCTGGCAGCTATTAATATTCAATTGACGTTAAGCGGTGTAGCATGTTTACGTACGCCGCATATACAATATTAAAAAAACCTTCACGCTTTTTCTGAGTGTTTTGCAAATTATGCCTAATATGATATAAAGGTATACTGCACACTGACGTAATTTCAACATTTATAATGCAAAACAATGACCAACCTGTCCAACCCAATAATCATACGATACCTAAGTTATATATTTTGTTCATAAAGCCGATAGTTTCGTTCACAGATTTTAACCGAATGTATAGTTCATGTTCCAATGTGCGCAAGAGACGTATTGACGTACTATATGAATCACCTATCATTTGCAAAATTACGCTTAATATGGTGGACCATGGACAAATTACTATTATTATACCTAAACGCATAATTAAAAATGAAAATTGCCAATTTTTTATAATAAATAATAATCTATGAATAGTATCCATGGAACACTACCCGCGTGTCACGGTTTAAAAAAATAAATTAAAAATTATATAATAATCGTCTCATACATTGAAAACATACATTATGCTAAGATTATTAATACAATAATAATTTATAAATATTGTTATGCATAATTTTTCCACTGAAGTGAACAAAAAATAAAATAAAAATAGATCCTAGCAATTAAAATTATAGTTATGTGTATTATTAAACATGATTTACGTTATCGCCTATCATGTTCCGTTCTTATCGAAGATGTTGACGTCAAACGATAATTCCTGCCATATTATTTAACATTCAGCAGTCATTAGTCAATAATATAAAAAACTATGCATGGAAACGGATTTAACAATGACGTGTTGACATACCGTGGTAGGTATTCGATGATAAGGGTGGCCATATTAAGTTACTTCGTCTTCCACCAAAAAAAAGTGTCAGAGGTACAACTACTCTAAAAATTGTTTACGCTATTTCGAAAAATGAGTTGGCCCCTTGAGTCCTCCACAAGTCAAGCCGACGTTGAAAAGATTGTGCTCGAGATTGTTTATATGACCCATTGATCTGGAACTTCTAGTGTACACTCAGTAGTGTATTAAAATATCACCTCTGCTTGAATTCTTTTTTTATTTTACACCATGTAAGATAGTAATATATTATATCTTATTTTTAATATTGTTCATCTTGGATCTCTAACTAATTTATTGACCAACTGCCTCCTACAGTTTTTTAAGTCCATCATTTACAATTTGAATACCATTTTACTCATAACTCATACAATTTATACACTTATACATGTCACTCGGCACCACAGACCAATAATTTCATCCAAGGCATTTTGTCAAGACATTGCGTTGCTGTATTTGTCACGTTCGATAGTTGAGTGAGTGTTAATATCTTAATTTTGATTGCAGTGTACGATTCTTCAGCAAAAATACCATCGGGCATCCTGAACGGAAATATAAACCAGTTTGGGGACTTCGATCAGTGTCTAAGAGTAAACGATGAAAACTTGGGCATTCAGGGACAGTATTGTTTAACATACGCAGAAATGACGTTGCCATCAAATGCCAACGAAAAATTAAAATACATAATCGATCTCATGCATTCACACTCAGCCTTCCGTAGTCGGTTGGAAGACGTAAGTATAGATAATTGTTTATTGTGTACAGTGATTAAATTTCATTATTTTGGTCTCTGTTCAATATTTTTATATTTCTGTACGAGTATCGATCATTATTCATAATAATATCATAGGTAATTATTATTTATTAATGATAGGTATTCGAGTTGTACATTCGAGTTGAAAGTCTCGTGATAATATTTATGCTCGTATAAATTGTTTTTATTATATTTATCATTACGTAATATGGTACGAATTGTTGAGCGTATTTTTTAATGGGTTCTTCCGAGCGTTAATGCTTAATGGTAAAGGTACTTTATCGAACGATAATGAGAAATATGTACCTATATTTTTATTGTTATTTTCACACGATTGTGCCAATTATAATATGAAACGGATGTGATTTAATTATTATTTGTTAATACCACCCAGTAATTTAACGTAATGACTACTAGTTTTTAAATTATCGAACTGGTATACCTTTATTAGTCTATTACCTACACCGTAAAATCAAACAAAGTTTAAACAAAGATATTATTGTCGGGCGACGTGGTTCGATAGTATAAAGAAATTAAAGAAAAAAATATTCATTTTTTGTAACGAAAAACGTAAATTGATGATTTTTGTACATTTTCTGTTTTGGGTTGTATTAGACCACTACTGGCACTACTTATGTTCCTAGTCCTTACATAATATGTGTATGTTTTATAATTTTATTTATTTCCGGTTTATCTAACTATAGCATTACATGCTTTAGGGATAAGCAGTCCTTCCCCCGGTACTTTCCATCACCGCACAAACATGACCCAATACCGCACAGATTTATAAAAATATATAGCCTAATGTCGCTCATAAAAATAGAACGATACCTCACAAATGTAGGTACTAAAAATTTAAAACCAATACAAATATTACGCAGAATTTAATTCAAATTCCATAAAATCAAAAAACACACTCCAAGTTAAAAAGTCGAAAATGTGTGGGTTACATCAAAATAATTAAAAATAGCATCCATAACGCTATTATAGTAGATGTATATAATGGGGCGATCTTACGTCCCGTTTTTCGTACCTCTGTGTCTTTATTCCGTTGTCCCCTGTGTAATCTTCGGTCACTAAAATGTCCGGTTTTCAGAAAGAAGACCGAGAATCAAAGACAGTAAAAATAAGAATTTCCGAGGCAGCTGAAACCTTGTAGGTACCTACCAGAAATTGACGGGCTGTTATCGATAGAGTTTTGTAGACTTGTAGTTAATGTACCATTGAAAGATTATTTCTTAAGCATAAAAAAAGTGTCCAACAGTTTTATTAGTCTTAAAGAATCTCTCCGTATCCAAACTTTTTTTTTCCATGTGAAAAACATACGACTACATTTGTGTGAGGTAATGTGATATTCAGCGTTTTAAGACCTGTGTAATGTTTTGTCCTACGCGTATTTTTTTTTGAGCACTTGCGAGTAATTGCAAATGAAGACAGAAAGTTTATTTAGAGCACACTACTATCCTATTACAACAATGAAAAAGTGGCTTGGCGCTGTCAGAACAAGATATTGTACATCCATCAAGCATCGTGTCACCGTCTCTACATAGTGCACACGGTATTCCGGTTACTGTAAACAATTAATACGTAATGAATAATACTATATAGTGCCATAAATATGCTCATGAACACGACCATAGTTTAGTGTGTCAAGTATACGGATTAAACAATAATGGTAAATTGTAATAACATTATGATGGGTACTGGATAGGTAGGTACGTATATAGTATGCCTGCGTAATCGTAGGTAAACGCGCGTAGCATCGAACAGTTCGACATGGACAAACGACCGTGAAAAACAATACGAAAATAAAATAATATATCCTATGGACGTTCTTATAAATAATACGTTGTAGGCACAATGATATTAGGTCCGAAGTTTGATGATTATAAGAAGTCAATGTACCATGAATGTCAAACCTGTTATTGCGATTGTGCCGATATTACCCATAGATTTATCGAGAGACTATTTTATTTCAAATCCTATCCTGATATTATTATTATTATTATTATTATTGTCATTAGTTTATAAAAATAAATTCCCAACATATCGTGTTGTTCTCAAATATGAACAATTTATTATCATACGGGTCAGGGACATTACACACGGTCTTCCCCGATGATGATAGACCATTGATCTAACTTTATAATTAAAAATTTTAAACTTACAGACTACTGAGTACCTTATTATTTGTTTATATCTATGAAAAAAAAGCTTTCGTCTGCCAGTCTGTTGTCTGTACTTACGCACTTGCAACTTGGTACAAGTTTAACAAGTATAATTAATATTATAAATCGAAATAAATATACATTTTTTTTGTCATTCTAAATGTTATATATTTGACAGTTTATTAAAATTTAAATTGTTTATAAATTATAATAAACCGAAGATGTGTAATGTGTATTGACTATTGAGTAGGTGATTAATTAGGTGTTCAGATTTGAAATTTTATAAATGTTTGACTACAAAATAATTTGCAAATTTTCATGATTTTGATGAATTTCGTAAGATTTAAACTTAAAACGCTTAGACTTAACTTTCAAGCTTTTTCACTGAAAACATAATTTTTATCATACAGAAATATAAATTTAAAAAAATAGATTATTTTAAATATCTATAAACATCACAAAAAAGGAGAAATATTTTGAAATTGATATCATTAATATTAAATAAAAATATGAAGATTATTTGTTGAAAATTTCAAGTCTATACTTTCCAATTACAAGAAAAACCAAAATCTCTTTAGCTCAAAACTGCTAAAAATTGACATTTTTCGTTATTTTTGTTTTTGTTTTCCTGGTTATTATGATAAATACTGGGTCCCCGCTCAGACTCTAAAATTAGACGAGATCGGCTTAGTGGTTGCCGTACGGCCAACTTATTTTAAGATAAAAAAAAATACCCAACAGGGATTGCTGTTTTTAGCCCGTATAGCATTGGCTGTATATTGTATAATTTATGTCATTTAATTTAGACGTCATATATCACGTATGACCCATTGACCCACCTTAAAAACAGATTAATATTTAACGTTAGGTGCTGGCACACTTTTACTGTAAGCACAGTCGCATAGGCACAGAGTCAGGATTTTTTCCATGAGCCAAACATAGGCGGCATTTGGACGTATTTGGTCTCTCTGTAGTTGGTATACCTCCCCCAAGCCTTTAACAATTTTTAACTTATTTTATCCATTTTACTAGTATTTCGTATTGTCAAATTATTTTTTCATATTATACAATATAATATCACTCAACACCTCGTATTCTATAATAGGTAATCAGTAGGCATTCGAAGTGTACAGGTACGACCTGGCTATCCGCATTTGTGTGTAGGTATTGTACTTTATTTATTTATCACTTGTTTTTCTATTATTATTTTTTGACGTGTTTACAATGTTTCCGATGTCCGTAGTATGCTCCTACGCGATTCGAACGTATCTATAATCTATACATTTTAATACCTAATGTATTCCATTTGTTTGGGCAATATGTCATTTTAATGCGTTTTAGAGTTTAGACACATAAATTACGTAGTTTATGTGTACATATGACGTGTGCAGCGTGTGTTTTACAGACACCAGGAAGTCGACTGCCTGTGTCTATGTACTTTTATTGTTTTGTAAAAACGCCGTTTGTCTGTGCGGAACGTATTTACCATAAAAAAAAAAATCGTTTATCTTGATATGATTGTGTAATACATAATACCGAACTGTATGTCTATATAGTAACGCTTGCCATCATAAAACGTTATTTAACTTGTATAGGTATATACCATAATATAGTACATAGTAAATACATCATAGTCTTTTACAAATATCACTAAAATAAAACATAGTGTGATATTAGACAAACATGACGTACTTACCAGATACTGTCATCGTATACTGAAATATGGCCAATATCAGATGTTTATCGAGCATAATTGAATATTTTAAAAATAATGAAGTCACCACGGTATGATGTATAGCTTTGTTTGTCTGCCGTTGTCACGTTTTTAAAGATAAAAATCTTTTACCACAACAGCCATATTAATTTATTCTTAATATTATTTATGCTAATACGGCCGTTATTTTTAATTGGTATGCCTACTACAATAACATTATGGTTTTAATAGTAATTTAACGGTTAAAGCGGACGTCGAATAGACTATACGAGTGACGGCCGCCTTATTGGAACTGCCAAAGTGCCAACTGGAGTACAAGGGAGAGAGGGGGCTCTACCGAAATAGTATGTTGTTTGGCAAGGGCGGAAAGTGAGCTATTTCAGTCACGGGTGACGTGTGCGCACGAGTCGCAGACGAGGGATACATTGCACCCAAGACCGAAATTGCCTTCCGGCTCGGGCCGGGAATACTATTTTCGATCACGACTCTGTCGTCTCCGAAACATCCTCCATCGAATTACAGAGTACTCCAAAATGAACTGAGTTCTTGCCCTATAAGATATGGCAAACTGTTTCACAGAATGTAGCACGGAACTACGGACGTAACACACCGACCATAGCTTGCGTTTGGTTTATTAAACAAAACTTATCGATACGTTCATGACCAGTGCTCAAATTTCATACTCATAGCTTCGACGATTCCGGCTAGGCGATGATGAATCAGTCGGGACAAGTTCTTTTACATACATAGATAATGCAAATGCATGTTGGAAAATAATTTAGGCTCATGTTAAATATTTTAATATATACTTCATTCGTAACTCATGAGAAGTCAAAGTGTAATAATAATAATATTCTCACTTATTTATCCAGTAAAACAATACGTGTTATGCCGTATAAGTATTCTGATTTGAACAGTAATTTTAGAATTTTCAGAAAACGTATTTACCAAAATATCAAAAAATAATGTGTGGGGCTGGCCCAACGTTACTCCAGCCTTACACATGAAAACGATCAATTTATTAATAATAAAATTAAATTGTAAACAATGACATTAATTTGAAGCTAGAAACGCATCAATCCAGTAGATAAATATGACTGATACGGCAAAGATAAAGAAAAAAGTTTTGAAATACTGTTTTGAAAAAAACAACTGAATAATTGTTATATCTTATACGTTTTTGAAATAAAAATTAATTTTGTTTTATGACTCACTTCGTAAGTATAAATATTATGAAGAAAAACAATAATAACTCGACCAAAACTCTTAAAATTGTTTGAAAATTCTTAGGTATTTTTTTCTTAGGTACATCAGATACCTTCTTTTTTAAATATAACTTCAATTTATTAAAAAAAAAAATAGTTAATTATATTCAAATGTCAAAAAAATGCGTTTTGAGTCTGAATTTAGCTTTCCTGAATAAATTGCATGTTAGATAGGCGCGAAAAAAAAATTGTTGAAAACTAAAAATGTTCAGAAAAAAGCATTTATCTGCCTTATTAGCTTTCTGAAGACTGCAAATAAAATACGTCACAAATATCGTGGTACTCTATTATTTCGATGCATTATTTATAATCCAGAAATTAGACTATATGACCTTCAGAACTGCTGAGTAATAAGAAGTTTAGGGATACCTAATCATAAGTTCATAATGTAGTTAACGATTTCGTCCAAACAAAATTTAATCTATTGAGGAATTATAATTAATTTGAGATTTTTTGAGGTCAAGCATCGTGTATTATTTGAAAAAGTTTTTATTGTTGTTGCTTAACAATAAGTATATATATTATAATATAATGATATGACCTAACCTTTTCGGAAAGTTAAAACACTTTTAGCCAAATAGCAATTTATCACTGTCACTTCCTACAATTTAACTACCTGTGATTCGAACTCTAATAGAAGTTTTGTTTAAAAATAAAAACGACCTCAAGGCAATTCAAATCAGTTACACATTTTCCAGTATCCGGTCTCATTACAGGGGATTAGTTCTTAATTTTCCACGTGAAGTACATTACATACATATAGCTAGTGCTCAAGGCTATAGGTTGGTAATTTTGATTTTATCAACATAATATATAATATGTGTGTATCATTATTTATTAGAGTTCGGATGTTTATGACCTTAAAAACTCCAAAAAATACATTAAATGTAATCAAAACAAGTATTTGTTGTAATTAGAAATACATTTTGTATACATGGATTCCTTATTAGTTATTAGTAATGAAATTATGAAAATTATATATAGAGATCTCAAATCCCTTGCTCTGTAAAATTTCTGTCACTTGATGATTTGATAATAACTAATAAGCGATATATCTATGAGGATATTGTAAAGCTAAGTACATTTGCCTCAGTCTTTACACTGGAGGGGCATCGATAATACATAATTTGTTTTAATTTTTCAATGTACCTACTGCAACTGTTGAACATGATTTCGTCTTTCAGCCCGGCCATCGCGTCCCGAGGTTTTCCACCATGAACTGGGCTGTTTGCACGCCGGCGAGTTGTTCTCCAGCCGACATCGAACATGAAATGTATTTATTGCTGTCAAAGTACGTCGACACAACTGAAATCAATTTGCGTCTTAAAGTTGATCCGGACATGTGTCAAACGTACAGGCCTTCTGTCGTGCCAACAACGGGTTCGTTGATCGCAGTGTAAGTCCAAAAGATGAAAGTCACGTATATGACGAACTTAGGTACCTACATAATCATGCACTGGATAAAAGTATGAACTATAGTGGTTCTCAGATGATGTGACCATAGCGTTTTGTTCCCTAGTCCAAATTATTAAGTACAAAAAAACGAATACAAAAAAAACTTTCAACAAACCATACAAATTAATTATAATTACCTATTTTATTTATTACGTACTTCTAGTTTTGATAATCGAGTGATTTATGTAGATTATAAAAGACAAAATACAAATGATCTAAAATGATCTGTATTATATATTTATCCGAAAACATTCATTTTCGAAAAATGTTGTAGGTACTCATTCTAAAATATAAATGTTTTCCGAATTTTATAGTTTTCTGAATCTTGGCATTTTAAAACATTACTTTTAAAAACATGCACCCAATTCGGTTAGGCTATGTACGTGTTATGGGTAGACATAGCCATTTAACAACAACGGACGTGTGCCAATGTATAATAATATATCTATTAAATTACAGGTCGGTCTTTGGAATTCTGTTCCTGGTCATAATATTGTCAACCGTTATGGACAAGTACAACATGTTCCAGAGTGTGGAAAGTGAGTGCACCACGGATGATGTGGTCCACGTAACAAACGATTATTGTCGTTTATATTGATATCAACTGGATTTTTATGCGATTTTTCCAGGCACCGTGTCGAAGGTACTTTACTCGTTTTCGTTGAAGAGGAACTTTCGACAGCTGTTGAGCGTTAATGAGTCACCTGAAGACATCAGGTCGGTTCACGGAATCCGTGCCCTAAACGCTCTCATGCTGCTGGCCTCTCATAAGTCCATGGCGATGTTTTTCAACCCTTATTCGAACAGGACCGCCATGACGGAGGTAACGCTTATGTATTATATTGCATAAATAAATTATAAATATATAATATTTATAAACTATAAATTATGATTAATGATGAGTAAGTGACGATCATTTTTTAGTGCGAGATTATTCGTTATTTACTGATAACAATTTTTTCGATTTTTTTTTCGGTTGCTACTGCAATTTTTCAAGTGAACATTTACTGTACACTTGAAAGAGCAGCTATTCAGAGTCTGGACGACTTCCTATCAACTGTTTAATATTTTTGTGCATTTTAATACAACTACTTATTAATTACTGCCAATTGTGAGTGAAATAGTTTGCATAAAACATATTAAGTATACTGCAGTTAAAAATAATTGAGCAAAATATGTCTATATAACAGCCTAAAAGTAAAAACTGGTAAACTTATTCAATACTGTGTAAACGAAAAAAATAGTTTTTTCCCCGCGATGAGACGGGTTTATAGATAACAATTTATTGATTATTATTAAAAAAAAAACAAAACAAAATACACCTATACGCACGAATAATATAGTGTATTTTATACTTATTCTGCGTAGGTATTTGCCTTTATTTCTATATTGTCACGATATTTTCCAATAGCATCCGCCAGCGATGACTGTGCATTAATGCTGTTGTTTGCGAATTCAAACGTGAGACCGACGCACCGGGAAGTGACCTAAACAATTCCACTTCAATATATTATATGTATGTTTGCATCGGAATAATGAATCACCAGGAAAAACGCTTTTTTTTTAATTGCGATCACGACGGTTTGACGATTTCACCTTGGCCCGTCGTTCTGCGTTTCGCGTCGTTTGACGCGTACCTACACCTAACTTTTAAAATGAAAAACCCCAAACAATTATTGTGGTTCGAATCTTGTCATTATTATTACTATATAAATAAATAAAATTGACCTCAACCGAATGTACCAATTTCTCTCACATTTTCAAAATTTTTATAAATATCATTATAATTCAAAATAATTTGCAAATTTTCGTGATTCTTACGATTTTGTCAAAATTCAAAATTCAAAAGCTCATAACAATTTATTGTGGATTTACTCTCATTTTTTTTTAAAAATTATCCACCAACAAAAACTTACAAAAATCTTGTATTACATTTTCAAGTTTTTCGACCAAGCGAAAAATTTTTGTCGACTTTAGTTTAGAAAAGACAATCGAAATTTTCATGTGATTATAAATTGTTTAACACTAGTCAAAATATTTTGAATATTGTATAAAAACCGTGGATATAAACATTCAGTGAAAATGTCATGTATCTATACGATATTTTTTTTTAAGTTCCACCAAAAACCAAAATCGATGTTGTCAAAAACCTGGTTTGCGTAAAAATGTACGTTTCCTTTAATTTTTTGTTTGTTTTTCCTGCCGTTTTTGAAAACTATTGGTTTTTTTTACCTTTACCCCTCGAGGTACCAACAAAATTCACTTTCTTACCAGAAAAGAATGCTGTTGAAGAAAATCGAAGCACTTTTACTGTCCCAAAACGTGATGATAAACACAACAAAACACACATCATTGTAAAATCATCAATCAATACATTCATCACTCTCCGTATAGAAAATCTGAAGAGGAAATTAGGAAATTTGGAAAGGGGGAAAATGAATCATTGATCTATACATCTAGTAACTAGAATCTAGTGTGTAATTTGAGATGATTTACCGCTAAACCATTAACTATACCTATTACCTACCGTTAATACCGACATGGCTTGACAAAAAAGTCGAGTTAATATTTTTTTGGTAGGTATAAAAATTTACTGTCAATATATATGCCTATAATCTATTTCCTACATGTAATATAATAATATAATACCGATCAATATAAAATGGAAAAAAAATAATCATAGTTCGTCTCATACCGACACCAGTATACCATTTTCTGAAATATTATGTTCTAGCATCTTGGAAAGCAGTGGACTGTTATTGCTCGGGCTGCGAGTCTCTACACGGATCCTTTCATATTCATGAGTGGATTATTGACTACGATATCGTTCTTGAGACATTTAGATCGAAATGGCAGGATTGATTTGCCAAAAGAATTCATTTCTAGATTTGCCAGGTACGTACGCTATAACCAGTATAATAAGTATAGGTTACAGCACATATAATTAACGCCTGATTTGATTAGGAAGATAATTAATTCACAAGTAACTATATCAACAATAATATTATGTCTATACCGAACAAATTTTTTGAACTGAATAATCGTTACTGAGATTAATTAATCATATATTTTAGGCATGTTATAAGTTTAAAAAAAAATTTTATGATGTAATTAAAAAAAAATTTGTGGGTTAGTTAGGTACCTACAACTTATTTGCCATATTTGAAGGTATAGTTTCTTCAATTGATGCTATTATGTAAATGAGACAGTTTGATGCATGCTTTTACCTCATCTGCCAGCGGAGTAACCAATGGAAACAATTTATATGCACAAAAAAAAAATGATTTTTAATATAATTATAACAAGCTATATAATGACCATTAATAAAAAAAAACTTTCGATTTAACCCGTGAATATCAAAACCCTTGTTGAGTTTTACCTCTTTGAAATATAAATTTTGAAAAATTCTTTCTTAGTCGGTCACTGCATCATAAAACATAACAACTGACCAAATTTCATATTCATAGGTTCGGTGGTTCTGTCTGCAGGGCAATGATAATCAGTCAGGTCAAGTTATTTTCTACACCTATATAGATAATCCATGTTGGAAAACAATTTAGGCTCGTATAAAATATTTCAATATACTTTATTCATAACTCATAAGAAGTTTAATAATTATTATAATATTCTCACTTGTCTATCCAGTAAAGCAATACGTACACGATGTCATGATATTACAACATTATGTTTAAAATTGGTGCGTAGAAATTATACAACTACGTACAACGTAGGCATAGTCAGGTTACGTAGAATTCGTAACGACGTCACAACGAGGGGAGGGGGGGGGTCACAAATCCTAAAACCGGGCTCACCTCTAGTTGCACCACGGTTTTCCTGAATAAAATGTAAAAATATTTACCAACTTTCTACTTTAAAATGATTTTGAATATAAATTATAAATACATCATACTTTATAAACAAATACATATGTATTTCACACTACATATACCATTGATTTTTAGAGCATTTAGTTCCGAGCTCTAGCTACACTGATTCGTTGTCAGTGGCTCGTAAATTTAAAACGTAAGTGGCAAGGCAGATATTTTCAAAATTCCTTGGAGAAAATTATGTTCTCATAACTATCACCTACGCATACACGATTATAAAGAACGTATAGATACTAGGAAGATATTATATTTATTATAATCATTAATCGTGCTACTAAATTACATAATTTTTTAATTATACATTGAGATTACTACATTTCGATTATGAAAAAGATCAATGTGATAAGAATTATTCAAATTGCTACATTATACCGATTTTTTTAAAGTAAAATGTTGTCATATTTTAGAATTACTAACAATAATAATAATTATTATTATTGAACATTTTAGAGTATGGTATTTTTTCTTTCTCATTTTATTTTATATTTTTGGCTCTCCTTTATATTGTATTTTTATTTATACCAATTAAAAGTTGAGAAAAATGCAATTGTTCCCCTCACTACAGTGGACAGTGGTGGGATGTGAACAGCAGTCATCGTGTTTATAATTTTTTGGAATAATTAAAAACTTAAAAAAAAAAACTAAGACATTTCATTATCTGTAGACAGTTTTAAGTAATAAATAATTATTCAAATGCAAAGAAGTATTAAAATGAAAAACATTTATAATTTTCTTTCTTCCTGACTTTCTACAGAGGTGAGGCGCACAGCATCACTTGCCTCTTCCAGCGAGCCGTCACTAACACTAAGCGTTTGACTAGTATTACTAATAATATTTATTTCTCTTGTACAATAAAACGTGAATCTTATGTAAACCGTTAGGTAATATATATTAATTTTGTATTAATTATAATTAATTAATATTGCAGACTAGTGCCGACGATGGGCGCTATCATATTGTTCTGCACTCTGATTTTACCGAATTTGGGTTCCGGTCCGCAATGGAATCTAGTGGTCAAACACCACGCTGACATTTGTGAAAAGACATGGTGGAGAAACTTCCTGTTCATCCACAATTACTTTGGATTCAAAAATATGGTAATACTAAATGAGGAATGAGGATATAATATAGCAATATATTATGTACATTAAATAAATCGATATTGAATTATATAATTCATAATGATATACATTATACATATTATAACTATATTTTGTAGATTTGTAGATATGATTATTAGTGCGACCATTTTGTACAACCATAAAATATATCATTGACTTGTTAAACATCTTATGTTCTCGGTGATGTAACTTCATGGGAATTAAAATATAATTCGTTTAGATTACTGGGTACTTTACAAACTTCCCTTGGATACATTATATTACAATAAGTCAATATGATTTGTTCAGGTATTTACCGTATAGATTGCACAGTACCTACATATAGTTATATAAGCAGGTCAGATAAGTACATGATGATTATCAACTTTATTTAATCGAAAAAATGTCTTCTTGTTGTGACAAAATAAACTTTTTTTAAAAGTCAACGTGTGAAACTGTAAACTGCGACAAAAAAAAAAAAAAATGTTATACAAACTGCGATAAACCTGATATGGTACATTATACTGGCTGCGATCATTTTTGATAGGTAGACATTATAATATTATACAATCTGGGCATCCGTGACAATTTGTTTAAAAGAAAGAAATGATTAGTAATGTGTAGTAAAAATTTATTTTACGATCATAATGCAAGTACCTACCTATAACTACATAGTAAATTAAAAGTTATTACGAAATATTATTTTACATGGTAGTTCATTATTAATGCGGTTTTCAGACATTTTTCGTTTAATAATATTTCTTACGGTTTGAAATTCAATTGTAGAATCTGGTTCACGGTTATGTGTAGTAATATGTACCAAGAAGATGTTTTTTTTCGTAAAATATTATTTCAATTTATGTACAACCCAATTTTTCTTTACACTTCTTATGAGAACATGTTTGTTTGGTAATAAACAACTTTTTTGTTTCATAATGGATTTTAAATTTTAAATTACTTAATGGTAATCGTTGTTTATCTTTCTGGCTAAACATCAATGTGAATTTAATATTAAATAAAACGATTTAACAAAACTTTGAATTTTATTTTTGGTTTTAAACACAGAGAAACTTTTGATTTACTGACATGTCCATAGAACATTATGTTCTTCTTTTAACTGCATCGAACACTAAAATGATCAAATGTTTGAAGTACAGTAACGGCGATATTTTAAATTTGGTATCAGCAACATTTCCAAATGTATGACTATTGATTGATACAAACCATATCAGTTACTATATATAATGTTGATATTTATGAAAGTTTTATATTTATTTTTTTTGCAGTTTGAACATTTTATTTTATTTTTGGAAAAATGTTAACTTTTTCACAGCATCTTCCTTCAGCAAATGTTTTTGTCTCAGAAAACATGTTATTAATATTTGGAATTATTACTAGGTTTCTAATCTATTTTTCACTATCTTTTATTTCTATCATTGTAAAAATTTTTACTTTTTAAATTACAGTATACATTTTTCCTCTCGTATTCTGGAGCAGAATATTTTTCTTAAAAAAATTTTTGCTTAAAAATTGAACATCAAACTAGTAGATAATAAGTTATGTGTTTGTCACTTGATTTAGAAGCTCGGAGTAACATACCAAAATTGTCGATAAAAATGATAAGAGAAAAACACACTCAAACACCTTACTCTGTATATTATAACTCTTCCATTTAAACTATTTTTCAGAACATTTTGATGATATTATATTCCTGACATTAGCTACAAAGTTTTATTAATTTAACCATTAGACTAAAATAAATTATTTTATTGAAAATATTATATTGTGTAATAAAATCTTACGAAAATAACGTAATACGTCTTTAAAAAATAAAAATAAATAATAAGATTTATGCAAAGATTATAGTAAATATTAAAGAATGTTAATTTTATGTTGCAGAATTTGGTAATCATTAGTTTTTTTAATTTTTTTAATTTTGGTGAATTTAGTTATTAAATAACATGGTTATATATTACATATTATTTACGTACATAGATGATAAATCTATTAATTAAATACGTTTCATAATTAACTAATTGATATGCTTATTTTATATTGGAAAACAATATTTCATTTATGTAGGTACTTTTTAAAAAATAAAACGTTATAAATAATTCATGTTTTTTCCTTGTAATTTGAGCACCTCAAATTGAGTATATTTTGTATAATGAATAATGACGTAATCAAATTAAATTATATTTTAGCGCAATGGCTTTTCTGCGCTCTAATTATTTACAAGTATCAGACTTATTTTATGTTTTATTCTTATACCAGATGTTGTTGAATCAATATAAATATGCACGTGTACTGTTAATCGAAAATGTGTACACGATAATATTATCATCAAAATTCACAAACGTATTGTAATTTACGAATAACTGTCATCTCTATACGTTTGTACTTTGCATTTGACACTTGGAGTCCGACACAACAATAATCGTTTGCAGTGTAGATGGTCTATAATATCGGTGATACACGACTGCGGACGGTTCTTATCGGGGCGACCTTTTTATTGACACGATTGCGAACGATTATAGTTTATCAGATTATAGGTATAATATAATTATACCTATAACTTTAGATAGTGGTTGAAATGCATCCAATAACATTAAAAAAAACCTCATTGTTATGTGATACTTACATTAAATTAATTGTATTTGTTTTTATTGTTTTTATTTTGTATACTTACTTAAAATCGTGAAAGTTCAAATTTTTTTTAAAACCCTAAGGTGGTTAAGTTTATAATAATATATTAATATAGCTCCCGATATGACGTTTAAATAATCATGCAATTTCAAAGTCTGGGTACCGCGGAAATTAACCTTACGTGGCCCCTTGGAAGCAGCTTGGTCGAAATGTCATGTTTATCAAAACTTCTATACCTATCTAATATAATTTATAGTGCTATATGTGTAATTACATACGCTGAAAATTGTTTTGTTTCGTACTTACAACTAGATATGAATGTTATAAAAAATCAATGGTAGGATACAAAAAATATAAACTAAAAAGTTGGCGGGACAGTAGTGGTTAAAAATTAAAAGTTAACCACTTCGACAGTAGGGAATATCACATAGTCAAACCCAGTCATAGACCTCATACTAATAATAGGATCTTATACGCATATGTTACAAAGATTGTCCCACCGACCAGACATGCTCCGTCTATTAGTGTGAGAACTATGGACCCGACATAGTTCTCAACAATTTTCCACCACAACACCCCACAACACCTAACCAAATACACGATGCCACACTTAAATAATTAAGACTAAAGAACAACATTAAAATCCAAAAATATTTGTTGAACATTTTATTTTGGTGAAGCACATCACAAACACGGAATATAGATAATATTGTATACAAGTGTCATCATGGGAAGATTATAATTTTTTTGTATGGGGGAAGGGACTCGTGCAAATTTTAGAGTATGATCAACCCCCCTCACCCCATGTGTGTTTGTAGTACTGCAGGATGCAGGATGCAATAAACGCCTAATATTATTAATATTATACGAATTACAATATTTACATGTGCGTATATACTAATGTAACACATTTAACTGGTATTTTGCAGTGTTTGTCACATACGCATCACATCGGAATCGACTCACAGCTGTTTATGGTGTCACCGCTGCTCGTGTGGACCTTGTGGAAGTGGCCTAGGAGGAGCATGGCAGCTCTCGTGGGGCTGGCAGCCGTATCGACCGGACTTAGATACGGCGTGACGCTAACGAAAAAATTGAACTTGTTCATCAATTTTGGAAGCTCGTAAATCATACGTTTTATACTTATTTATTGATATAGTATACGTTCTCGCTATTATTATACTATTAGGTATAGTTCCGGGCATAAAAGATGGTGGAAATTTAATGAAATCAAATTAACTTGAGTTAGTTAGCTAAAACTATAATAAACGTTATGATAAGTTTAGGTTTTATATAAATAGGCTAAAAATTAATGTATTCAACTATCTATAAAAACTTTACGTTAAAAAAATATTAACATCACTTATTTAAGAAAAAGTTATTGAATTGATTATTCTTAATTACCATCTGAGGTACCGTTGTAACTGTGTACATCTTTCAACTCAGAAAATTGATTGTCCCGATTTTTTTTTCATAATTTTTTTACAGCTTAGTGTAGTTATACATATTACGGAACTTTTAGTGATTTATGCTACTTTTTTGTTGTCACGTCTACAGGGTTTCACAAATGTATGACACTGCAGATTATTCGTACATTTTGCCAACTCACAGGCTGACCGTGTACATTATGGGTATTCTACTGGGTTATTGCCTGAGATACGTAGGAAGAAACTACCCATTGAAAAGCGTAAGTCTGTTTATCATTTTTTATAAATTATAATATGTATATTCATGTCGATGGATGCGAGAGGTACTCAACTTGCACCTAAATCGACCCTAAATATACACCAAGTGCCATTTGCTCCAAAATTTTTAAGCTGCGTTTTTAATTTGCACCAAACTAAAGATTTGTAATTTTCATCACATCAGGTAGAAATAAATAGCAATTGTAATTTGCACTGAAATTCAAATCGATTATTCTTTCGATAGTACCTACCTACCAACGTACACGTTTCGACATTAGGGTATAATGTATTGAAATATGAGAAGCTAAAGACACAGAATATTCCACTCATAGATTCTGAGTGACCAGTAACTAATGAAATAGATTATGTACAACTTTAATAAGACTGTGATTTTAAGTATCTATAACAAATTGACGAAGTACCAAAACCATGGTTTCTGTAATAATATAGGTATCCGCGTTAAATGTATAAGAAAACTATTTTTATCGATGTGTTACGGACGTTACGGTATTTACTGCGATTTTATAAATCAAATTTCTATTATAGTATTATTCTTGACAATGTGTATAATATGATTAAAAATATAGGTCCATATGGTATGACATTATACAAATGGTAATTATTTTTATTGGATACAATTAGCAATGACTAACAAAGTAACACTCGTATAGTCGTATGACTATTGTAATTATGGCGGTACTATAAATCTATTGCAATGACATAGTAAATCGGTGATATTACTATATTTTTGTTTTTGATTTTGATTTCGTATATTACAATGATGTGTATAAATGATAAAATGTGTTTATGTGTGTGAATGTGAACGTGCGGCAAAATTGCATTCAATTATATAATAGAATACTTCTAATTACCATTATATATTTATATATCACCTAAATCTAATACGAAATATTCTACTCAAGTAGATGTAGTCTTACAGAACACAGCGAATTGCAATTAGATTTTAGATAAACGTTTTGCCACGTCTAAACGACCATATGCATAGATATTTTTTTTTATTGAACTTAGATATTGGTCACTATTAAAAGTTCAAATATTATAGTCTTTATATGGTGTGTATTTACCCATACTTGTAGTTCACATTCTAGAAACCCAGAGATTGAGAAGATTATTGTTACCTATTATTAGTAACAAAACACCATTAATAATAATATAAATGTTATGTCGTTTAGGTACACTTGAAGTTGGGATGGATCGTCGCAATTGCATTCTTTTACGAAGCTTTTATACACCCTGCTAAAATGGGCGACATCGATTATGTGTACAACGCCAGCGATGCAGCCAACTATGCGGCTTTCGCTCCCATCTATTGGTGCATTTTTTTCAGTTGGATTATCTTCGTCTCATACACGGGAAATGGAGGTATCTACGTTACTTTTGTTTACATAAATAAAAAAAATATTATGATACTGCGACTGGGTGTAAAGCATGGCGAAGCCTGTCTTATCCAGCCTTTATCCACCTAGAGGTGGACTGGGTCTATAAATCGGCCCCAGGTGTAATCGCCCAAGTCTTTCAGAAATGTTAATGAAACATAACATGTAAGACAAATAATATAGTTGTTAATATAACAAATAAACCCATAATACTTGGAGTGGCTTTGATTGGTACCTATACTTCAGAGTTATATCATTTATAATATTATGAGGTGTAATTAAAAAATACGTCAAAATGATAATTTTAATCAGATTATGAAATTAAAAATACATCACAGTTCACATATTATGTAACTCTTCTAATACGTTATGAAGCAGGACGTCGGATTTTACATCATCTGCCCGAGTAATCAATGACAACCATTTATATACAAATTCTAGTATTACTATTAAATCTGCAACCGATGGCAACCATTTATAAATGAAAAAAATGTCGATTTCCACCTTCCTGTAGACCTTTTTAAAATTCGAATTTTGGAAAATCCTTTCCTAGTGGGTCTCTAAATCATAAAACAAAATTACTGTCCAAATTTTATACTCAGAGAGGTTCTGACAAGAAGATGATGAAACAGTTAGTAATGACAAGTTATTTAATGCATAAACATAATATTATATATATATTTATATTTATTTACTATATGTTCTGAAAAAATGAATATCGACTTGTCGATTTGGACAGTTAATGTAGATAGATCAGTGTAAATGGATCGTTTATGTGTCTTTATTTGAGCATCATGCTTATTGCTCGGCGCTCGATTGTATAACATCCCGTGGGTCGTAATGAGTAATAAAAAAAAATATATTCGTAAATCGTAACCGAACTACCTTGTGCTATTTTTTTCCACGTATGTTGTACTTGTTTTAATCGACCGAAGTATTAAATTCGATTCGGTTGTGGGTGTACAAAAATACGTTACCAGAATGGCCTAGTACATTATAATTCCGTTTCAAATTAGTACTATTGAATTCGTTTTTTTCGACAGTATAATTTCCATTTTAACGAAATCACCATACTGTGTTTATGGTACTAATAATTTACGCACTAATAAGTTTTATGCAAAACTTTATTTATACATTTCTGCTTGGATAGTAAAATATTAACATAATAAATATTAGGTTTGGTTTCCTTGATTGTTTAATATATCGAGTTAGCGTGATACCATGATAGTTTTAATAACCTATTTACCCATATTAATACCTATCACATTTCATATTTACCTAAGTATAATATCATGAATATATGAATCATTTTTGGATTTTATTGTCTTGGTTGGCGAATATAATGTTGACAATGATAGTTTGTTGTATTCCTAGAAGGTACCTACATGGAAGATCCGTTTGAAAAATATATTCAATATGTAGTTAGTTAACAGCAATAAAAATACTCAAATACTGCATACGTTCCAACTTGGTACCTATATTTACTTTTATGAGTTTTCGACGTTTTCCGTGAATGCAGAGAACAGTGGCCAATACGTACAATTATTTTACCAGTGAACCTGTACAAATCGACCTGTTACTCCATGTCATTATCAAATATTACAATAGACACTACTTTGAGTTTTTGAAGTATGTACCTAACCTTGGAAGTTGGAATTAAAACTTAAAGTTACCCCTACAAACAAATAAAATTGATAAAATTGTTGTTGTTATTGTAATTGATAATTAATAACTGCTTTTATATGCATAATATTATACGTTGTAAATACTTTTATTAAAAAATAGATGGTTATCATTTTATAAATTATGATTGTCTCTTTCCTACTTGTATCTTCTTTTAATACTGAATACTATAGTTTTATTTTTTCAATGTAGATCACAATATATTGAAATACTGATTACCAACTGTTACTTGTTAGGTACATACCTATAAAATAAATAAATATAATATAGAACAATACGTGATCATACGTCTTAATAAATTATAATGAAGTAACAGTTAAAAATGTTCTTCTCATAAAATAAATGCTTTTGCAATGTGAAATTGATGGTGACAACTTGACATAAATGACCTACAGCATATGACGAGGAGTTTGTCTTGATTAGTAATAGGCACGATGTCTATCTAAAACATTTATCTCAATATTCGTCCACATAAAATCAACTAAAATTGTGACTAGTCGCATCGACTAGTGGCTAGAATGGTAGAATCCTAAGAGACCAAGGTTCAAAAGAACCCGCGGGTTGCACGACCCTATTATGAGTGTAGGTGTGTCAGATGAGTTAAATAGTCACAGGGACAAGAGAAACCATGTAATATACAAGTTAAAAATAATTAAATGAACCGCATAGACCCCTGACCCTCTGGTTACTCCGATGGACTTGTGTCCAAAGTAGGTATTTATTTATATTGTAATAGTTATGGTTAGTAATAATTATTATGCATTTTACGTTTGGCATTTACACATGTAGTGGTACAGTCCGAAAGCGGGGACTTATCGATTCCGCCAATTTAGCATCGATTCCGCCAGTATCGACTCCGCCAGTTCAGGTAGTCTAAAAACAACCTATCGATTCCGCCACCTACCAATTTCTACCTCGACCTGGCAACTGCTGCTGTCAACCTATTTCTGTTATAATAATAATAATATATCTAAAAAATAATTCAATAATTAATTTAAATATTAAAAATAAAATTAATAATCAGTTTAATAATTAATACAATACAATATATATATATAATAATACAATTAAATTAGTCAAATATGGTTTTAAGTTATACAATGATATTTTTATGGTATGATGGATGCCAAACTAATGCAATGTGAATTAATATATACATAAAATAATAAAATATAGTTAAATAAATAAAATTGTATAATAATAATAATATAGGTATCTACAAAATAAGTCAATATTGAATTTTAATATAAATTAATAAAAAATTATTTTTTCCCTGGCGGAATCGATAGGTCGTTTTTAAACTATATCTGCATTATGGGAATCGATGCTGGCGGAATCGATAAGCCTTATACCCAAGTATAAAATGGTCTGGCGGAATCGATGAAACCCCCCGAAAGCCTGTTATTAAGCTTATATTTTATTCACAGATTCGTATTTAATTTTTTCCTGTACATATAGATACACGTTTAGGTGTTTAGTTTACATATTTTGTAAATAGATATATAATCATTTTATCGGATTTTACTTATATTTCATTATTATAATGTTTATTTTTTTTAGGATTCGTATCGTCGTTGTTTTCTTGGAAAGGATTTATCGTGTGCACACGTCTGTCTTACACGTTCTACTTGACACAATTTCCGGTATTTTTCTACAACGTGGGAAGTCATAGATCTGCGTTGGAATACAGTTTTGGATTGATTGTAAGTATAAATGTATAGTTTACCTATTATGTGTAGCCTACTAGCCTAATACGAATGACGTATCCTACACATTTAAACCCACTCACTCGTATAAAATATACTTTTTAAAAGTATTTATGTATAGTATATACAGATACAGGAACTTAATTTAAAAATTATTTAAAATTTGTAAGTATTTGAATACATAGTAAATTCAATATATTTGAATTTTTCGTTGAGTATAAGTCACATAAAAAACTAAAATATTATATAAAAATATTATATGCTTTCGACTATTATAAATTTTAAATAGCTATTTTTATTCTACGTAGGTACCTAATTAAATTGTAAATTGAAAAATATAAGCCAAGCTAAAAAGGGACATTATTTGAATGTATGAGGTAATCGTGTAGTGGAATCAGCTACATCACATAATCTCATCCCCCAAAAGTAGTCAAATGTTGTTAATTTATTCCAAAATCTTAAGCTAGCCAAAAATAATAGAAAGAAATAAGTCCATTACTCCAACTACAACAAATTAAGATAGCATACTATTCCTACTCATACTTGTTGAAAATGCTTTAAACATTTATTTAAGACAGTCAATAGCTTTGGGCGTGTCTACACATAGTCGAGTAAAAAATAATTTGTAAATACAAATTTAAACACACTATAAAAATATTCATCAAATACTTTTGAATAGGTACCTAATTATTTATCGGTCAAAGCTTTTCGTGCTGGAATTTGTTTAAGTTATTTTTTGGTTTAGCCTTGTTTAGGGACAATAATTGTAGGTACAAATAATTTTATACACCTATCATAATAAAATATTTTTTTTAAATAAAAAAGTTAATGCAAATTAACAACAACAAATGTCCGTTGAATCAAAGAACCAGTATAGGTATTTCGGCGTTTCTTTAGCTTATCTATTTTAAAATAAAATATCACAAAATAAATATTTTAAAGTATTTTATACTTAACTTTTATAATTAGGGAAAAATAGAAATAATAAAGTCACTTAAGCAAAACAGAAATATTTTTAAATATATTAGGTATTTTATTACGATTAGATAGTTAACTTGTGACATCTAAGTCATATCTGTAGGTATATCTGTAACAGTAAAGCAGTTAAAAAGTTATGACAGTTTCAAGTTGAAAACGACCCCATGTTGTAGAATTTGACGGTCATGACTTTGCTCGTTTTTTTACGATATCAACATTCGTACCTACTAAACCTGCAGACATCTATTTCGATCCGCCAAGCTTGAATATTTTAAATTGACAATAACTCATTTTGCATATTCGATCATTGCGAGAATATTATATATTCGCATAAATTGCTCTTAATATTATGGGCACCTAATATCTACATCAATAATTTAATTTTGAATGGAAGAACAAATTATTTTGTGATTTATTTCAAAATTTTCATTGACAATGGCATTATATATTTATGTATTTGTGGAAAGAACAAAAAACAACAATGATAATAATAATAATAATAATAAAAGTTTTGTGCGAAACGGTGGCGCGGCGTCTACTCCATGATATAATATGCAAAGATAATTTTATAATATTATACGTCTTATAACGGGCGCGACTTGAATGTCAGATTGCCGTCTGGACACTATAATTATATTATTATGATTTCTGAATATAAAGTCAATCGTTGTGCAAAATCGATCAAAATGTACAGACCTGCGGGCACAGTTAAACCTTTATGGTTATGGGTGGGTACCTATTATTCGTAAAATTTAGTGATATCCATAATGTATATGGTATGCTAATATTTACATAGGTATATGTATTTATATGCAGTAACAGAATCGTTTATACCAATATCGGTTAGAACGAAGTAATAAGTTATAACAATTTATTCGCAAGGTCCCTGAAATCTCCATATAAGTGTATGGCGTGTCTACTAATCTACTTGCAGGTACATACTGGATATACGTATCAGTGGCGTTTTGAGCTTTTTTGAAAGACCATATTGAAAGCCCTATTCTCAGACCACGTTATATGCACATTCATGATTCATTGCTTCATCATACATTTTAAATGACGAAAATAAGCCAAAGGGGTAGGGGATATGACACTCCCCCTCCTCCCCCGTGAGCATACCCCTGGCTGGTCTATACGCCATATGGCTACAACCACTTTGCACACATTTACCTAAATACTTATACCTACTCATAACGGTTGGTACTTGGTGGAGAACATAGGTACCTACACACAGTAGAAATGTAAACTTTGTAGTCAAGGATTCAAGGAAGAAAAATTGGCTTTAGACCGCTATTTCAGAAATGTTGTACATAGCTATTAAATTTTAGGTAGGTGTTAACCTAGGAGTTTATTTTTCTAATAAAACATAGTTCATATAGGTGTGTCTTAAAATCCTTGGATTTGAATTTCAAATACAATTTAAATTTTGTAATCAAACTGCCACTGCCTATAGCCCCTATTTACATAGATTAAATAGATTATCACATATTATATCATATACTTCATCGATGCTATTTGGTACTTAGATAGACAACTGCAAAAAGTCATATAGTAATATGTTATATTAATATTATAATAAAAAAAGTGAAACTTTTGTGATCTAAATAATCCAAAGTACCTAGGTAGGTAACTCTTGTCGTATGAGTGATGTAATTTCAGACACATAATTATGGTTATTTTTTTAAATAGTTTCGTTGATAACATTTAGAAAAAAACTTACTTTAGAGTTTAGACTTTGGTGTTTAGGAAAATATGATAATTTTATAATGTTACAAAACTAATAGCATATTAAAATTAGTAGAAAAATAATAAAACTAACTGGTTCAACTTCTACAAAATAACAATCACTTTTTAAAGCAGGAACATCACGTTTAATACCTATAGTTTTTCATTTTGACACCAAAAAGATGTGCCAGTATTGACTTCTTCAATTTTTCGGAGTATGTTTACTTATGACACTACAGTCAAAAATAAGTTTTAATGTAGGTGTCTAATTAATCATTAAAGTTAAAATTCAAGATTGCCTTATTTAAATTTGTAGCAATTTTTCGCTAAAAAAAACTTATTTTTAACTGATATGTTGAACTGAAAACAGCAATATTTAGAGTTGTGGAGGTAGTGGACAGGAAGTCTGTGACAGCAATTTGCAGCCGTAATATAAAATACGTCAATCTTGTATTTAGAAATAAAAATATAAAAATGTTTTACTACCACATTTTAAAATATGGCAGTCTTCCATTCACCTACAACATTGTAAAATACCATACGATCAACTGTTTGGGTTTATGAGAGTATTTCATTTAGTATGTATTGGAAGAAATCATATTATAAAGTATGTTTGTGAGTATTTAAGTTTTTAGTTTCTTAGGTAAGGAAAGCTAAGTTTTAAACTTCAAATCTCTTTTTCTCAAAACTACACATTATAATTGTGATTTTAGAGGTGCGAGTCATGCCTAATACTTACTTGTTTATTAATTATCACTGTAACTGCAGAGCAGACTTGTTTACACATTACACCACCCCTCCCTCCAGGCTATATTGATACTATTTGATAGGTAATTTATAATATAACAATAGATATCGTTATATTTATAAATATATAGGTAACTATAAATTATAATAACGTTGAAAATCGTTGAATATTGTTTTTACAAATTGAAACAACAAATCACCAATATTAGTTTCAATTTTACTTATTATTAACCGCGTTTATTGTCAGTTAAATTATTTTATTTTAAATCTTTTACAAAATATTGTTGTTTTAGTCCCTTTCCCCCCAACTGATAAAATCGACCAGTAAAAGCTATTACAGCGTATGATCTTTCTCGTAAAATCCCCAAATAGGCACCAATAGGCCGTAGTAAGTGTACTCACGCATCTCGATGAATAGTTCGATCATAATATTTATTCACCATATTATGTGTGTTTTTGCCGCAGATAAACATCAAGGAGATGCTGGCCATCGTCATGGTGTCCGTGCTGCTGACAGTAGCCGTTGAGATGCCATTCAACAACATCAAAACGGCGTTCGTGAAGAAGTCGTCCAGACGCGAGATGGAAGCGCCCACCCCCGTACCAAGCGTGGGAGGAGATACTGAGTCGCGTCGTAACCGATGAGAGATTTCATCATACTCACGTGCCCGAGGGCTCAATGTTATATTATTAATCATTATTATCTGTCATCTCGATCATCGATCACATTGTTCATCACACACGCACACAGTCACGATCAAAATTTCCATTTAGAGTTTAGGTTTTAAATCGGTTCACTCTCACTTTACATGGCCGCTACCGTAATGGATAAGACATAATTCACACAGGTGTTTTTAGAGACCTACGCATCTATAGATTTTTTTCATACATTTTATTTCATTTCAACATTCTCATATAAACAATCGACGCACTTGCACGTCGATTCACAAATTTGCCAATTGTTTCAACGTATTAGACTGAGATCATGCGCAATGCAATCGACTTACCCTGCGCCGTCGTAGTCAATTTTAGTATTGATGTATAGTTTATAAAACGTACAAAAAAATTAAGCTCAATCATTTTTTTTTAAATATTGTACTTGCCATTTCAACAAACTGGTGTACTACTTATAGGTTATACTATTACATGTACATACAATTCAGTATAGAATTAGTTATTTATCATTATTATTATTATCATTGTCATCAACATACTAAATAATTAATGAACTCATAACAATGAAGTTCTAAATGCATATTTATTTGTCATATTAATTTTGGGTGTTATAGAAATAAAACCAATTATACATTAAACCTATTGATATATCATGTACTATATTATTATTATATTATGTTTGTAATTTTTAATAATAAAAAAAAAATTAAAAATATGTACCGTTGAACAATTGTATGGTTCTTACTTTAAGTTGTTTTAATTTTTTAATCGCTTGGAAACAAGTTTGATATTTTATAACAACTAGTGATTACATGTTAAATATTGAACGCAAAAGCAATATCTATTATTTATATGTCATAATATAATATTTTTCAGCAATACTTAATAATATGCGAGGACTTTGTTAAATGATTCAAAAATAATAATATAATCAAGATATTAGATGAGAAATTAAAACATTTATTCATATTTAAAGATAAGTTTAAATTAATTACTTAACAACTTTATACTAATATAATATTATATCTAATTATTAAAATATATATAAACTTAAATTATATATTCAAACAATCATTTTCAAATAAACCTTAGACAACAATTAAGTATTTTTGTAATAAATACATTTTTTTTATGACAAACAGTAGGTAATTGTTTTAATTAATTTGTAGAGTAAATTTAATGTTAATAAAATGCATTTTTTTCCTAATGAAAAAATGAAAAAAGCAGTATTATTGAAAAAAAATTACATTCCAATTAAAAATGTAATACTAAATCTAACACAAAATATAAGAAAAATCAAATCAAAATAAATCAAATAATAAAAAAAATGTTGTACAAATATTATGCTACAAATGAATATATTATCCTCTTGAACACAATCATAGTAAGTTAACCCAATTATCTTAACAAATAGCCTTCAGTTAGTTTATAATTTCAAAAATACTTTTTTTTTTAAATTCATAATTAATAAACAAATAATTGTTTGCAATAAACATCGCATTGTAATGGAGTTTAAAATAATAATATATATATATATAAAAACTGTTGTACAAAAAAATTACATAATTAATTAAATGCAATTACCATAAATCCCCTGGAATTAGAGAACATTATAGATAGTTTACCCACATGAACTAATGAATACCCTGCAGTTAATTGTATAGACCTAACACAAATGTGTTCTTTGACATCAAATATGTCATATGAATTTGGATAAGTCGATCGAACTAACAAATATCTATCGTTTATAGGTGTTAGAGGTAAGAGATTTGATATAGCATCAATAGCTATTTTTTGTACCACTTCAAATTTGGACAACATGGACTTTAAGAGGTCATACTGAAATATACTTTGATTAACATTATAATAAATATACTTTCTAGTACAGTCAAATGAAAATGTATCGCATTCAAGCCAAAACACGTTTAAGTATGAATTATTTTGCTTTGTGATAAATGGAGTTGCAGAACCTGTGTTTTCTACTCCAATACAATTGCTAGTCACCTTGAACTGAGTAACAGGCCCCAACAAGGGTATCTTTAATCTGTTGTTTTGTGTACATCCTTTCATGTGATAAACAATTGCCAAATGTTCTGTTTTCAAGTCTTTTTTTTTCTGAAAATTAAAACATACCAAATGTACATTTGTTTCTTTTAGAAGCCAAATAGGATATGATAAAATAAATAAGGGAGTAATCAAATAGCTAGTATTTATAATCATAAAATAGCACTGAAATAGTTCAATTTAAATACTAAAACGTTTATAAGAACGGATTTATGTTAACATAATTTTAAATGGTTATTTAACAATAAATAAATAAAAAAATAGAAAAGTATATTGTGATAAAAAATAAAAATTCATATTTAAATTACATTTCACTTTGAACACTGTAAATTCTTTTTATTTAGCTTAAATAATAGAGTAATTTTTACTAATTGGTATTTACTTTAGTGTTTAAATAGTAAATAATTTTTATACTGTTTTCAACCTAAACTATCACTTACAACAATATACATTTAAGTTACTTACAGTTGTAAAGTTAAATTAAATCATGCAAATTTCCTCCAATACAATATTTTTTATTGAAATTAGTTATGGATTTTATATGCAAGACATTTTGTATAGAGTTAGGTAACATATTTTTGTGTAATGAGTTTGACGGCAAAAATATTATTAAATTTTAAGTTTAAAAATTACTTGCAGACAAATAGTACAATTGTCGAATTCAGCATTTTGAAAAAGTTTAATATTTTATTACTAATAAATAATATAAGTATTATATTTACTGTTTTTGTAATTCCAATCATGAGTCTATAATCAGAGCACTTCATGCTATCAACAATACATCCTCTTGAACTAAATTTCAGTTCTTTATATATTTTTCCTGTACTTAAATCAGTTACAAATATTGTACTAATAGCTGGGTGCACTATTGCTAGTTTATGATCATATAAATCAATTTTTGTGTCACAATGATTATTTAAGAACTCTTCGTTGAAATCATCCTTATTCAAGCCATAATCAACAGATTTCTGAATCACTTTAAAAAATCTTTTGGTAAATTCAGTTTTCCAAATTGAATATACAAATATAATTGAACAAATTTCAAATACCAAGTACCTTTTGTTACCAATTACTTTGAGTGGATATTTTCTTAATTTAATTAATTTTTCAAATTCATTAAATATCGGCAAAAATTTTTTTTTTATGGGTCTGTTTGCCCCATTTAAAATAATTATATGAATTGGTTGTTTGTTGCGGCAATCTATATTGACTATATAATCATCAGTACAATATGATTGTTCTACACGCTGACGAGGTATATAAATGGTTGGAAAGTCGTTGTTTTTTATATTCTTTACAATCATTATATAATGATTAAAAGTTAGCCAATAATCACATAAAGGCCCGAATAATTTTTCTGAAGCCACATCAGCATATCCTATGCATTCTGAATCATGTCTTGACCTATCATTTATACACCGGCTATAATCAATGACTCGTACATTCATATCTTCACAAATCCTTGCCCATATCTCATTTTGGTTTACATATACACATCGCCACATCTTATTAACTAATTTCAAGTTCAGAACATCATTGAAGTCCAAATGTAAGACAATTTTATTTATGATTTCAAGTGGTAGTTGTTTAAAAATATCATACGGTTCAGATCTAAAAAAAAAATTTTTTATTGCATTATTAATACAATTAGTAGGTAGTTGCATAATAATTGTTTATTTGGATTATCAGACATAGACACAGTATTATCAATAATAAAAAATATGATCTATCTACCTAACTGTTATTATTAAATAAGAACTTTAAATTAATTTACTAAATGGACGTAATAATCTGGTACAACATTAAAATTAGTTTTTCCACAGGTGTTCATATTGCTAGTATTACTAAACATTAGAGTATGTTAAGTGTTCAATTACCTAATAGGTAAACAAGTTTATAATATTGTGTGAAAAAATATGGGAAAGTAATTATGTTTAGTAGTGAATTTACACTAATTTAATATAAACAAGTTAATTTTTAAAGAAATTATTCATTTTTTGACAAGTTAGTACTAGAATTATCTGTATAAACACAATCATCTGATTACAGTAGAAATTAAATAAGATGAGTCAATAATTTCTCAACAAAATTGTGAATTAGCTTGCATGCATAAAAAATACATGCAAGTAAGAGAAAACCCTGAAATTGCTGTAAAGTAATATTACTAGACACCCTTGCCGGCCATCATTTAAACAGAACAAAGATATCTAGTGAGATTCTTCAATTTGTTTGAAATATCAGTGAAATTAGTAGTCTTGTGAAATGTATATATTATATTCATCTTTTAAGCAAACTAATTTATGAATAATAAATATGAACTGTAAAACACCTAATATATTATCAATAATCAATTAAGACTTACATTTAGTGCCTCACGATGTGGGAGGCTAAAAATTATTTTTAGGTATATAGGTAAAGCAGTATTTTTAATGACATTTATACATAATTTTAAATCTAATGGAAAACAATAAGACATAGGTCAGAGGTATAGTTGTTAGTTATGGATACACCTAAATATTCCACCATATTTAAAATGTTGAGCTCCCCCCCACATTGATTGTGTGATTCACAAATTAACAATGCAATTTAAAATTATTGTTCTAACAGAACTTGAAATTTTAGTATAAAATAAATAAAGTGATACTAGAATAATTACCTGTAGAAGTCTTCAAGTTTTTTTTTTATTAATTCCTATTAGGAAATTGAACAAAAAATTTTAAAGACTAGGTTATATTTTCAATATTAACACCACTTTTTAGTACATTTTTCAGAACTACCTATTTGTTTTTGTTTGCCATATATTTAATAGTATCCAAGAAAAGGTATTTTTTTAAATTTTTTTTTTTGTTTGATGACATCACAAGAATATTAATTTATTTGATACATCATTTAAATCTCAATAAATATAAGTATAATAAATTAAAATGTTTATACATACAAGTAGTTACTTTTTTAAACCATAATATGGTTTGTGCAGTTGGTAAGTAATTGATAAAAATTATAATTTAAAATATATCAACATACCAGATGGATATTTACCCATAATATATAATTAGTAAAATATTTTTATCATAATAGTTAAAAAATATCATTAAATCAACTTTTCTACTTCGGTTTGTTAAGAAATTGACTTATAAAATAAACAAAACAAACATCAATACTATCATATAGGTATAATGTATCTTCATATTAATAAGTATTTTAGAATTTCATATTAATGGATATATTCTGGATATCCACCATTACACAACAACTGGCTACTAAGTATTAATAATTGTTCAGTGTTGTAAGACAAAATAAAGTTTAAATAATTTCTTGAATTTAATTCCACGCCAAATCAAAAACCAGTTAGTATGAAATACTTTTATTTAAAATCAAATTAAAAAAAAATGTATTAAAGAAATTTCAAAAATAATTATCTTAGGTATAGGTTTCTATATAAATAATTTTAAAATTATTCTGTCAGTAACCATGATGTTCTGGTGTTTATAAAGAAGTACCTATAGATACCTATAATTTCTGATAAAACATTTTAAAACTATGGTAAATTAAAAATCATATTTTTTTGTTGCATTCATCAAATTGATTTTAAGTAATACATAGGTACCTAGCTATTAACTTATAGTAGGTAATATGGAATTAATTCAATTCAAAAAATTAAAAACAATATATTCATTTGACAAAGCTAATTAATGGAAAATATGAAGGTAATTATTAATTATTAATGAATGGAAAATCAACTTACTTCTTTAATTCACTGGGTGACATGCTTTCTGTTTCAACACCATAAAAATTCATATTGGCCGATTCAGTTATTGTACAATCAATATTCATATTGTCTGATTTGGTTTTCCCACAATCAATATTCATGTTGTCTAATTTTTTTGGAACGCTATCAATATTCATATCGTTTGATTATGTTTTTAATCATTGACATCTAGAATAAAATTAATAGACCTGAAAAAAAAATACGAAATAGGAGTTACTCATTTTTTATACCTTATGGCTAGGTATAATTAATATTTGATAGTTAATCCATCAAATTAAATCTAATTACAATGAACAATTTATAGGATAAGACTGAAGCAAAATCACAAAAATATTAGTCATAGAAAAGTTTTGATGAAATGCTCCACAAATACTTAAAATACTCTTAAGGAAAAATGTTAAATGGTTTATTAATTTTGCTACATTCAAGACTAGCAGAGACTATGAATTATAAATGTGGACAAAAAAGAATACCTATATGTTAAAAAAAAAAAAAAACTTTAAAATAACATCAGAAGTATATGTGACATTATTATGCATTTACGATCGAAAAAATCAATGAAGGGCAATCTGCAAAAACATCGTGTCCAAAGCCAGCAGCTTTTTGACAGAGCTCCGACGTTGTTCACGGTATCGCCTACGGGGCAAAACTAACAAAAATCCTATGACAACATCGATCGGAACCGTATTATATTACCTGAGGTGTTAACAGAAATAAAAAAACACAATCCGGTCACACATCACCGTCAGAATGATATTATGCACATCGAGCACACGGGTATCGACCGGGCTCAATAGGTACCTATAATTGTGTTACATCAGCGGTCGATAAGAAAAAATTCGACGAAACGATTAATAACAAGTCCGACGACTTGTTGAACGGCGTACGGAGACGATGATGATAATAAACGATGAGTAATGACAACAAATATACAGTCAACAACAACAACAACAACAATAACAACAACAACAGCGACAGCGACGGCGACGACGACAATAGGTGTGTGTACGACGATTGTGTCGCGACTCGCGAGGTTACGTACTTACGTCTGAGCGTGCGTGTGTATGTGTGCGAGAGTGTAATCGCGGTCAAACAACGACGGCGATTGCGGATTGAGCGCGAACGACGACGGACAGAACAACGAAAAAAAAAAAAAAATAATAATAATAGTAATAATAATAAGGACGATTGCTGTGAGTGGTGTTTGTGGCCTGACCGAGAAGAAAAGAATATAATCGAACACTACCTAGAATAGTAGAATAGCACGTATTATTATTGTTATTATTGTTGTTATAAACAACACACACACAATGACAACACTGGCACGAACTCACTCCGCTCGACGACAACGAACGGTAAAAGTTATTATCGTGGTGGGAGAGGGGCAATAATAATAATAATAATATGTAAAAATTACACGTTATCGGGCCGCGGTCGCGGTGTGGAATTCGACAACATTAATTTGTCAGAGGAGCAACGCGGATTACAAACGGGTTGCGTGACGTTTGCGTCGATGTGATATTTTCACACGCAATCGAAATTTCGACGTAGACATTCGGTCGTGTACGACGGAAGCGCTACCGGTGGGTATGGGCCGCGACGTTATCGGGACTTCGATTGGTTTTTTACGCGCTTACGAAATCGTCTAAAACAAAATAAACGATTAATGTGATATTGTGATTAAGTCTAAAACACGAAACACGGTCAGCTACGAAAATATGATAAACGATTTACGTGTTTTCGATGATGTTTTTCTTTTTCATACTCCGGGACAACGACGACGACGACGACGACGACGACATGGCGAACCGAACGACCGACCACCGGACGTCCATTGAATAGTGTGTTAATGTTAATATATTTATGGTGGGTACTGGGTTGCATAAACAAATGATTAGTTTAATTAATTAATAATTTACTAAAATTTATTGGACCAATTATATTATGCATTGCAAAATAAATATAACATTCAGATCTTAGCGATTCGTATAAATTGCAGGGCCGGCTCAAGTGGAAATAGTGCATTAAATCTAATGTCGCTGCCTCTTAAATAATATTTAAGTTTTTTTTTTTATATGTTGCTTCCCTTCTTAAGTGCCACTCTAAGCCGGTGTCTAGCTTGGCTAAACATTAAGCTGGCCCTGGCAAATTATTATGACTAGCATTCACATTAAAATTATTATGTATTAGCCATGTTTTTCATGTGGATATTAACGGGTGTGAAGTTGGATGGTCAAAGCTAGGTGACTGTTATTTGAGCATCTGGTGATAGGAAACCCACCCACAAAATTTGTATAAATGTTGTATGTGTGTAAGACAACACGTTTCGGGTACAACGTCCTCTTAATTATTAAGGATTAGTTAAAATATACAATATGTCAGCATTAAATTTTTTTATAAACTTTCACTCGTACCTATTTGTGACAAGTTCTCATTTTACAAATGCGGTTCTTGCATTTTTAATTTTGTATCGGTTATTGGGATTATACTAAAAATGGTTATTATTAATTTCCTATTTGGTATTGTTAAATATATATAAACAATTTTAATCAACAAATATTTCACTTTTTATTAATTACTTATTTAATTAAATTGTCCCAATAATTGACCAATTTAAAGATAAATTTAATTAAGTGTTATTTTAAATATAATTGTGTATAGTAATTATAGCATAAATGTCAATAACTTCATTATGATTTTAATTTTTGTATAATTTATCTATATTATTTGCTATGGTACATAAACAGATTTCAGAACTATTTTGCCTTTTTATGCTATACACCATAGGTTCCCAACCTATGGTCCGCGAGACATTTTCAGGTGGTCCGCGAGCCATACTTACAAAATGTAAAAATATTTTAATAGTTTCATTTTCCTTAGAGGCATAACACTAATTATTGACAATCGTGTATAGTACGTCGTTTATTTATAAATTTATATTACATAGTGAAACCCATATTATTAAAAGCTTCTTATTCATGTAATAATAATCAAAATTCTAAAATATGTGAAAAAAAATTGATTCTTATTTGTAAGAAAAATAAGGTATACAATTGTGGTGGTCCGTGACGTATTGAAAGTTCTCATATTGGTCCGTAGTACCAAAAAGGTTGGGAACCACTGCTATACACTAAAGTACAAATTGGCATAATATGTTGTTTTTACTTATCTGTAGTTACATGACTGCATATTTTAATTTGTTTAATTACTTTAATTCTCTCTGATGCTATTTATTTTAAAACTTTAATTCAAACTCTTGATTTCAAATAAGTCAATTAATTACTGCAGAGTTTAATTATAATTTTTCTATCTTAATCTTTGATCAGGTCTTAATCAGATACTACTAAAACAATTTAAAACTTATATTATATTTTTTCTGATTATGGTAAAGTAGTAAGTACTTAAGTTTTCAATTTTGGTAATATATACAGTTTTTCTTTCTCTTGTTTTATTTAAATTAAGCTGTAAGCGTCCTAGAAAATAAAATATTATTCACAATATGGATATATTATGGACATTTGTGTTATCTGTTTTACATATATTATTATTTTTTTTTTATAACAATGCTTGTCAAATTATATTATGCATGATATCAATATAAAAAAAATATTCAATGATGTTACACATATAAGTATTATATTATCTTTGTAAGGTAACCACCGCGTTACCGTTTTCCGATGCACTTACTAAACCTATATACCTTTGATCTTTAAATAAATACCAAACTTGACAAATAACAAAAATATGTATTATACAAATAAGTCTAACAGATAAGAGAATATTCATAACATTTTACAACAAATATTTATACTTTCTGTTTAGAAACTTTGAAGTCTTAGAGAAAAATGAAGAACATAATAGAAAGAGTTCAGTGGAAATCTAAGCTTTTTGATACAATAATCTTAGTAAATAATATTTTTCATTTTGATGAATTATTTAAATAGTTAAAATGTATTTTTCTATTATAGGTCCAAGCTACAAGGACCCAAGTTAAATATTGATACAGACATACAGCCGGTTGGTTCTCAGGAGTATTGAGTATGAACAATGAATACACTTCAAATTTAACTACAGAGGTATTAAATTAAATTAAATTTACATTTGCTCAATAAACTGATCATATAAATATATAATATTGAGTAGTAACTAATACTGAAATACTTGAATGCTATTATACATAATAATTGCAAAGTTGAACTAATATGAAATTAATATTTTGAGGTTATTAGAATGATATGTAAACTATAAACAACTGAATTATAATAGTGTTAAAAAATAAAACCTTTAAAAAAAAAAAAATTATATAAATAACCATAACTCAAGTACCTAACAAGTACTAAAAAAATAATATAAATTAAATGTTTTTATTTACTTCACAATCATTTAAATTTTGGATTCGGTGTACCTTGAAAAAAACTTATTAAAAAATGCTATATAAAAAATGCCAAAATACATACATACACCTGGTTTGGGACGTTTATCCATCTGTACATAACTGACCGCAAGATGGATGGGGTATTTAAATTCTAAAAGATTTCCAATGTAGATGTTTAATAAATGTATCATGCTTAAAAAATAGTATAACAATTCTGAATAGAGATAAATTTAAGCCACATATTACTTATTTTAAAAACTCACTTAGAAACTTTTTGAGCTCTTTTACACATTTATAGTAATAGTAAATATGTTCATTGTAAAACTAATACATTTTTGATTGCAATTGTATATAAAATAAAAGTAAAGAAAATAACAAATAATTTCTTTACTGTTTGATCTTAATACATTTATTATTACATGTGTGTAAACATAATATAATTTAAATAGCAGATAACATTACATTTTTAAAAATGAAAAATGCTAAAGTAACAACATTCAAGACTATGTTTAAAGCACTGTTGATTATAATTTAGTGTGGTTATAAATGTTAATTACTTATTCATTATGAAATATTTCAAAATAATTTTATTTTCAGATGCATTACTCAAAATGGATGAAGATGAAATGATGAACTGATTACACTTACTTTCAACATCAGTGAAGAATCAAATTTAGGTTTAATATAGTTCAGCAAAAATCAAAAATTCATTTGGTTTATTTTGATTTCATAATTTTTAGTTATGTTTTTATAATAACTCCTGATTTGTATAACCTAACAGAATCAAACTAAAATTATTCTTAGGTATATTTAAACATAAGACAAATGTTCATTAATGTGTTTTTCAAAATAACTATCACGTTCATATATGTATAAAATTCAGCCTTGAAAACATAAAAATTACAGATTATAAGATACTAATTTTTTGTGTTAGTAATAATAAAAAAAATTAAACCTCTACGACCATTTAAATATTGTGTTTAGAATTTGTAATTCATCATCTATATTATATATAAATTGGTCTTTTTTATCACTAAATTATGCTTAATACCGCTTTTATAAAAAATTAATGAATGTGAAACATTCTTTTAAGAGGACGTTACACAGACATTTGTTGTCTTCGTCTTCCAAATGCTTAACAAATTAATTATTACACTCGGCAGATCATGTTTAGCTTAGTAAGTTTGAAAATTAGAATGAATTGACTACTTATAAAATTAATTGGTAATATTATTATTCAGGGAGTCTCATAGGCTTTTTGTTATATTTTAATTTTAAAGCGAGTTATGAGTATTTTAAAAAGTACAAACAATTTACAATTTTAAATTACTTATAACTCACCTTAAAATTAAAATATAATAAAAAGCATATGAGATGCCGTAGATAATAATCTTACATTTTAATTTTGTAAGAGTTCAATTCACTCCAATTGTTAAACTAACAGTACTAAACATGATCTTCTGAGAGTACAAATAGGTATGTTACACACTTGTAAGACGGAGACAACAAATATCTGTGTAATGTCCCCTTATAGTTGGTTTATTAAAATATGTTAGTGCTTGCTATTTTAAAGTATTAACCAATTTATTGGGCGTTGAAGGTATAACTTGTTTGATAAATTCTTAGGCACCTATTGTAATTTAATATTGTATAATTTAAAGTTTATAAAAAAAATGAGTAGGAAAATAGGTATTTTAGTATTATAAAAAATACTAACTTCTCAAATTATCGATAAACCAGTATTTTGTCTTTGTGACAATGTTGTTAAATTAAATACAATAATGGATCATTAACTTAAAGTATCTATAAAAATCAGCCAAAACAAGTTCATTATAACTGAAAAAATCTTAAAAATCACATCAAATTGTCGTAACTTAAATGCCATAGTCAAATAAACAAAGATCTAGCTAGTTAAAAGTAGGCCTATTTGTTATAAACCGTTGTAAAATATTTGGTACTAATTTTTTATTGTTCCTCCTCCTTAATTAAAATATATATAATAAAATAGATAAAAAATAAAAAAATATATATATTGTACTTATAAATTTTAAAAAAATGTTTCATTATTTATTATTTTAAATATAAAACTTGAATTAAAAAAATGTATTATAATAATATATTTTGAGAAGACATTTATCAGACCCACTAGTATATGAAATGAACAATTGTATGTATTGGTAGTCTAGAACAAGTTAGCCAATTATTAACTCTTGAACCCTTTTTCTTACGGGAACTTCTTTTGTGACACCACCATCACGGTTCTTTAATAAACATTGTATGGCCATCTTCACATATTTCACTAACTTGAATTAGATTATTTTTGATATAAAAATGTAATTCCAGTATCATTGTTGAAAATAACTAAAATTCACTAAAATTCCTTTTATCGTATTAAATTAAATTTTTTATATTGGTTTGAACTAAGTAGGTAATGTAATGACAAAACCTAGCAACATACAAATGATATAATAATTAACCTACTTATGATATAAAGTATAGAATTTCCTAAAATATTTCTTAAAATACATCATCTATCACAAGCTAAACATGATAAGTGTATGGACAATAACAACACACTAATACAACTACACAGCAGGGCAATAACATCAAATACCAAATATTTAATTTTAAAGAACAAATAATTAAATCCAAATGTTTTACTGAAAATAAAGTATTTTAGTGTATACTAAATAAAATGTAATAATCATAAATTCATAAAATATACTAAGTATACAGTCAAAAATATAAATACATTAATTATTAGCAAAAATAAATATTAATAATTTGAAAAATGTGTATTTGATTCCAAATTAAATCTCAAATTCATGATTTGCTTAGTCTTCAGAAACAATATATTAGTTACCCTCATATTTAAAGTATTAATTAAATCTATTAAAAATAACTTGCTCATTATTTTATTGTAAATTTTATATGAATATTATGGTTTATGCAAATTCCTAACATAGTAAAAATCTGAAACTTTTTAAAAAAAGAATACCATATTTTTTATAAAGGGTAGATAAAATAAATCAGACAACATTGATGTAATTTTTATTATTCTACACCTCACTGGTAGTAGAGAATGACAATGCTAAAATTTAACAATTGATGGGTGGTAATAGTATATTCTATATAAATATGTATTATTATTCTTATTTTATAAAAACATCAGTGGGTTGAACACAAATAATAAAAAATAATAGGGATGTATTTAAAGACGAAATTCCCTCTAGTTCATAGCATACAAACTACCTGACTTCACCACAATACGTCATCATTCATCGGGTATTTGTTTAAATGGTATTTTTTTTAACTGAAACGTCCAAAATAGCATCAGAATAGTCTTGGAAAAATTTTATAATTATATGTAATTACATATTTAATGTTATAATGAGAGACAATAATATTGCAATAAATTAGTTACTAAATATTTGTTTCACATTTTTTTATTTATTGCCATATGCATATCTAATATATTTTGCCATATAGTCCACCCTATATTATGCTATTTATTAAAAACAATTATTGTAGTCATGTTATAGGAATACTAGTATCTAAACTATTCGTTTTTTTTTCTTTAATATGAGCTTGGAAATATGTTTGATTAAGAATTTAATTCAACTCAATTATAATATATTTATAAATTATTATTAATTAAAATTATACATGTTTTTATATTATTTTAAATTGAGAAGATATCATCAAAATATAAGTTATTGCTTTTAATATCTTATTTCCTCCAAACAATTTTAATATAAGAAGACCTAGCTTAAATTATTGTATATTGTGAGATAATTCTTAAACATAAGCAAATATAAATAAAATGCCCTTTTAGGGACTTTATGTCCATAAATGATCCGTATCCATAAATATTTGTATTCACAATCATAAATATAAGGCAATTATAATATGCAATTTTATAGTAAAGAACAATAATTCTAAAAATACAACACATCAACACATATTTCACTTATACAGGAAGAAATATAACAAATAGCTTTTATTTGTATGTGTGCAAAATATTGCATGTTAAAATTATAGGTTTTTTTCTTCAAATTAAAATTTTAACAGAAATATATAGCAAAACTAATATTAAACCATTTATATAAAACTGTACTATGCAGGTACCTATTTCACCAAAGAATATTGATAAACTTATACCTAATAAGTATTTAGCTATTTTCTGTTGTATAAATTAAGTGCACATTTAGAAAATATTTTTTCTTAAATACATATTTATATTATAAATATGTTTTTATAATAAAAAGAGCAGTAAATAAATTGTTAATTGAACAACATTTTCAATAAATACTTTTTTGATTTATTTGAAAATACAATATTAACTTCAGTGTTCAGTAATATATTGTTAAGCTACAACTTACATTTAGAAACTTATCTAAGAATATGTCCTTGTAACAAGTAATAAAATAATAATTATATAGGTACCTATTATTATTTCTTATAATAATTGTTTTGATTAAAACCATATTTTCATTAAATTCAAACAAATTTTTGTTTATAATAATAATTATATTGCCTGGATTAAATTACATATTAAACATCTCGGTAAATGTATTATAAGTTGCAATCAATGTTACTTAGTAGCAACCAAAATATCCAGTCAAATGTATCACATCGATTTATTTTATTGCTAGCTAAGTAATATAGTTTATAAATAAAAGATATTTTTCATATTTAATAGATGTATTATGTAATAATAGAGGTATAGTGTAGAATTTCTAAGTTCACTATGGGTGTACCTAAGTACCTAACTAAAAATAAATCACCCAATAATGGCATAATTGACAAATATCGAATCCTAACAGTGGTTAACACAATCATTTTTAATTATGGATATCTAGTATCTACCCATCTATTGTCAAACTATTATTACAATTTATAGGTAGGTTATAAGAATTCTACTATTGAAATTTTGCAATGAATTTAAACTATTTTACCATTTTAAATTCTTCAAATATTGAGAAATACTCGAAATAGGTCATAATTCACTACCTAGTATATATTTGTACCCAATAAAATGTATTAAACTCTCTATCTTAAAAAGTCAAATTTTAAATGTTTCAAATTTCAGTTCAACTAAAAACAAAAGAAATTGTATTCTTGAACTTTAATATCTATTTTCATGTAAAAAATTTGTTTAACACTAGTGCTTAAAAGTGAACAAACAAACGTGGAAAATGGAAAGCAAAAAATCATGATCTTTCAGCTAAAGAAATCTACGTCATCGTCGTCGCACGCAGACCGCAATTACCTATTGTGGCACTTCTATAATACACCACTATTTACTACGGCTTACACTTCTATACAGTAATACTATTAAGGTGAAATATTTATGGAATATAGGTATGTCATTTCGAAGTATTGTTGCCTTGTGGAGAACGATTTAATTGTGTAGTTGAGTTAGGAACGGGAGAAACGGAATTTCCGTTAACATTTTTAGGTAAGTACGACACTTTTTACAAAAAAAATTATAAAGATAAAATAATGTGGATGATAAAAATAAAATGTGTACGTAAGGGTCACAATTCGACTAATATTAATTTAGTGATAAATTAAATACATTTCCAATAATTGTCCGGCTATGGTAATTAGGATTATAGAGTTTTTGTAAACGTTTATTTCAACTAAATTATTAAAATATAGATCAAAATAGTATTAAAATCTATTTAAATAACTAAAATTTAGGTGTGTACATTTTATAAATATTTTTAAATCATCATTATTTATGATGTTCCTCAAGCGCCTTTTCGAATTGTTCGATTATTGTTAGAAAGTCGTCATCGGCCCGGCTGGCCACGACGATTGTGTCTCTAATGGACAAGGGAAGCGGTTTCCAGTGGCGATGACTACTTTCGTCGTTTGCCATAGCCACAACGCTCTCGTCAGCGCTTGGTTGCTTACATTGGATAGACTGTTTTTTGATCTCTGCCTCAACAGCCGTACGATTTTCGACGAGTTGAGCCAAAGTGTTATTGTAACAACATAGTGACTCCTGTATACAGAAATGATATTACAATTAACAGGCTGTCTACAATGGCGAGCTCAGCTTTTTTGAAGGGGGGGGGGGGGGAGGAATAAGAATTTTTGATTATTCTCAAACCACATTATATATAACATTCATAACTTATTCATATATTCGTTATGACAAAAATAAGCCAAAAGGGTGCATAACACTCTCCCACGTATATTAATATTTAATTATAACAATAATAATAATCTGAACTGACTTCGAATTGGTTCATCATCTTTTCCAACTCATCACAATAATCGTTAACGAGCCGGATCAACGATATTACATTCGGTTGGTGTAAGTCCAGTTCGGCGCAAGTGCGTTCCATAAGCTCTCGGGCCCACCTGTCGTCCTCGCCGTCGTCGATCGCGTTGCCTTCGTCGTCCTTCTTGACGTCCTGTGCGTTTAGGGCGTAAACGCCCCTCTGCATCATGGCATAAATTGTGTCTTTGGACACGGTCACTATTTTTGAATTTTTCGCAGCGTCCCCCTCGTCCTTATACAATTGCAGTCTCGACCATCGCGTACTGAGTTCGGTAGGCCTCATCTTCGGACGAATTCCGCCAACGCTTTCACGTTCGGCGGGATCCACGTTCAATAGGAATAGCACTAAGATCCCGGAAAACACCATGATAAACAATAATATTTCCACCAGCATAATAACAAGAATAATATCGTTCTTTGCGACCTATTACAAAATTATAAACGACGATCCACGACGACATAAATAACTATTTAGTTAGTCTATATTACAATCGTTCGGTAAGTAAAAATGGAATATTTCCATCGTTTAAGCACTTGGGCGCATGGCATAGCAACGCACATAGTGATAAAAACGCCACGTAGGTACCTATATAAAATCCTTATTGCTATGGTTTTCTGTATACAGCATAATTCAATACGCGGTATAGGCTCAGAAAAATTATTGATTATTTTGGTTTTTATTTTTTTCGGATTTTGGTAGTTTTTGTCTTATGAAATTTCACACAGAGATTTTTGTAATAGTGATTTTGAGTATGCCAAAGTGACTTACAGCTTTTACACAATGACATATCTTTTTGTCTTTTAAATCATTTGAATCTGATTAATTTTTCTATTTAGATGGTTGAAGAGTCACAAGCGAAATGACCATTGTCAGCTAAGTTTCTTTTAATTTAGCTAGTTATTGTAGTTTCGGGATGCCATTCGTGAATTACGACATGACATTTTTTTCTGCTTTGAATTGGTACATGTGTACATGTAATGTCAATTTGGTTGTTTTTGAGAATTTGTATATCACCGCATTAGTGATAGTTTTCAGTAAGGTTCATGGTCACGAGTTAAATTGCAAACTTAGTTTTGTCTATCATTAACACCATAGGCTGTGATTGGTGGTGGCTTTTATACTTAATTCTTTGTTCTGGAAGTATTATATCTATCTTTTTCACGATTTTGTTGTGCTTAAACTAGATCCTGAGCTGTGAGCTAGAACCCACGTTTTTGAATAAGTTTTCATTTTCATTGTCATTACTATTATTATTATATTACTCTTTCGAAGGTCCAATGATTGACTTTGTAGTTGTGTAGTACTCGCTTGTAATTTTATCATAAATGTAAGTTCGTTTTGTATTCATATCACAATATTTCTTCGTCAACTAGAATTTGTTTTGAGCTTTAGCTCCACCGTATGAGCGTTGGTCGTCGGATCCGTTGCAAAATGACGGTCATGGCCACCAATCTAATGTGACCTAATTTATTTATGTTAAAGCACTTGAAACTCCTACATTATAACTTATAAGTAAATTACATTTTTTGATCATGTATATTTAATATTTATAATAAGCGTTACACATAAATATGACACACGTGAGTGGAACATACATGTTGCACCTTCGACAAACAAAAAGAGTTTTTATAAGTCTGCAACATGTAAATGGCAATTTTTTTCTACTTTGTTTCAAAACTGTTGATACATTTTATAATTATTTATTACTTATTAGGTAACTAAATCAACCATTATTCAAGGTAAGAATTTAAATTAAGGGGGCTAGAGTCGGTCGTGTTTTAAGGAAATGAATATGGGCAATTTAACATGATAACATTAAAGTGACTTTTAAGGGCATTAAGCGAAATAAGTGAGCGTGAGTCTGTAATCTGTAATCGTTTTCGGTCAATACTTCCTAGAAATTTCCTGAATTATAAAAGCCCACATAATACCACCCATTAGGTCGGTCGTTATTTAAATTAATCGTCAATTAACTTAAGTAGGTGCAGACTTTGGCAATGATATTACATTAGATACATTTTTATTCAATTCAAAAAAGTGGCATTCTGACCAAAATGGTTAGACAAAACTGAAGGAATTTGGTTTGACGGCTGCTGAGAATGAATAACTTAGGTCGCATCTAGATACTTATTATTGTGTATCAATTTATTTACATATAGTCATATAGATTAAGATAGTACATTTTACTTTTTAGTAAATAAAGTAAATAAAATACATTTCATTAATTAGGTAGATTAAAATACTAGGCATATTGACCTATAGTTTCTAAGTCTTAACGTTAAAAAATATTTTTTTTAGTATTAAAAAATTTCAATTTCATATTTTTTAGAATATAGGTCAAAAAATCCAAAATTAGCTAGTTTAAAACTTAAAAATCTCCGAATCTAAAATGTTTATAAAATATGAATCACCCAAAATTGCAAATAATAATTTGATAAAATATCCATTAAAATCAGTTAATAACCTAGTGAATTTCATAGTAGGCTGTAGGCGTGACTTGCAGGATTTTTAAGAATCGTTCATTTTAGAACAACGAAAAAATAACAAAACTCCAATTGGATGAAATCTTCGTTTTACCGTTTTTAATTTATTTGTTGGTAGATTTCTTTGTACGTAAAAAACTAAAAAGTATGAAATACATAAAATAAAAGGTTAAAAAAGTATCAGAAGGTAACAAAAATATACAATTTCCTAGTTGAAATGGGTATAGAATATAGATACATTATATTATACAGCTTGGATAAAGTATTCTGAAACAAAAAGTTTAATAAAAAAAATTAATTTATTATTCATAAAAAATAAATACTATACTAAGGGTGATTTAAAATGCATTTATATAAATAAATCTCAATAGTGAATAAGTAAAACTGTTTGCTTAGAAAATTATTAATATATTTTTATTCGTTATAAAATAATTTATTAATTTATGTTTTATTTTCTTTTGTTCTAGGACCTCGATTGGCTACATTCATAAAAGTCGTCCACAGTTTGTAACATATTTTCGATGGTTTATGACAGAAAACTACTTATCTCAAGTATAGATATACGGTTTTAATTTTGATTTCACCTTAAATTTATTGTATTTTGTTTATATTTATTTATAGTATCATTCATCTAAAAAATCTAAAAATGAGGCCAAGTGGGAAATGCTCGGTTGTACATTAGATGTCTAGAGAGGTCACTGTAATGGATGTGTTAAATTTGAATTGAATGACATAAAACCACGAGCCTCAGAGGTTAGGTTACCTTCAATTTTTTTTTGTGCCTGTCATCACCTTTTGGGACTAAAAGTGCTTCGATTTTCTTCAACAGCATCTTTTCTGGAGGGAAAAAGAATCTAGTTGGTACTTTGGAGGGTATAAAGTAAAAAATCCTCTATAGTTTTCAAAAGCGGCAGGAAAAACAAACCAAAAATTAAGAAAAAAACCGGAATTTTTACGGAAACTAGGTTTTCGACCAAAATAATTTTGGTTTTTGATGTAATTCTAAAAAAATATATCGAAGATACATGAAATTTTCACTGATCGTTTGTATCTGCATGTTCTATATAACTTACAATTGTCAAAGGTTAGGTAACATTTTCAAATATTTTGACTCATGTTGAGCCATTTATAGGCATATGCAATTTTCTATTACTATTTGTTTTTTTTTACTAATGTCGATAAAAAATTCTTCACTCAACCAAAAAACTTGAAAATGTTATACAAAGTTTCACATAAGTTTTTTTGCTCGTGGAAATTATAAAAAAAGTTGAGTGTAAATCCACAATAATTTTTTATGAGCGCTTAAATTTAGAATTTTGAAAAAATAATTAAAAATCACGACAATTAGAAAATTATTTTGAATTATAAATGCATATACATTTTTTTTTCTTTTTTAAGATTTAAAAGTTTCATACAAGATTAGTTGTTGAAGGGTTAAACATTTAAATAATGTTCCTCGTAGGTAGGTTATTCTGTAACCAAAAAATCTAAAAATGTATAAGCACAGTTTTTTTCTATAGTAGTTTTGTGTTTAAATGTGGACAAAATTACATATTTATTAACCAAGAATAATGATTTAAGTTATTTTGTTGTAGCTTAAAAATATTATTTATGGGTACTTGAAACTTTTAAAGTGTACTATTATATTTTATATACAAAATGACTTTTTAAATGTAATTTTTTCGCATAAATGAATTTAACCTACTGTAATACTAATGCTTAGTAATGTAATAAATTTCTTTAATCACAATAGCATCATCAAATATATTAAATTACTAAATATTATTATGGGTTGACAGACCGTCTTCGCTCAGAATCGTTTTTCGTTTTATATCATTGAATTCAAATTTAACATTTTAACACCATTACTGTGACGCACTTGTAACCTACTGTTATTAGTACAGCAGAGCGACATCCACTTACCCGAATTTTTTCATTAATTTCCATTATAATGTTATATATAACGTTTTGAAGCCCTTGGTTAAATTCATTTTTGCCGAAAAAATATGTTTGCAAATGTCATTGTGTATATAAAATATAATAATATACTCTAAAAGTTTCATTTACTCACGAATAATATTTTTAAATTACAACAAGACACCTTAAAAGTCTAAATATCTCATATTATTAAAGAAGTTATAAACAATAATTTTTTAATACCTAAGCAGTAAAATCACTTAAACAATAAAAAAATTAACTTTATATTATGACTTTTATAATATTATGTTACTTTTGCATTTATATATACCTAACTAGCTGATCCCTGGCACTTTGTTGCCCGTTAAAAATGCCAACTCTATAATATGAGACTCGATGGTGATAATCCGAGCAGTATATTATGCTTACCTGCTGTGGATTGCGGACCCCGCTTGACGAGTACTTTATATAAATAATATGTTTTATTTTGATTTTGATTGCGGACACGCGGATGAGCAGCTATAAGTGCAACTCACCCACCTTGGTGCTTGGTAGGCAATGTGCGAAAATTCAATTGTATGCAATCATATACCTGATCTGTCCGATGAACCACTGCCGGCAACCAATAAACAAAAAAAAAAAAATACCAATTTCTACTAAATAACAGTTTATTACTAATAACTTTAAACAGTTTATGCGATTTGTTATTAGGATTAAAATTGAATTTAAACAGTTTTTCTAGAAATGTTTTATTATTGATCCGTTTTAGGTAAATACCTAAGTGTTTAAAGAGGAGGTATTAGACACTATAATCGGTCTACCCAACAAATTTATAATATCTTTTGATTTTCTTTGGAAAATTACGTTGATTCAAGCACAGAAGAATCACGAGTAAATTTGATTTGACAAAGTATCTTGATAATATAATTAACGTTAATGACATTATAAGAGTAGTATCAAAACGATAATATTTTATTTTATTTTTAACGAGTGATAAATTGTTTTCTTCTTTTTATATAATTGAACACAACTGTTTAAGCACACCAAAAATAATATAATACATCATTATGAAACAATAAATCTTGATAGAGTTTGTTTTTTGGACCTAACTGAAAAATAAAATATGAATACGAATTCGATATTACATCGATGAAAATATGCATAAATCCAATAAAAATTAGATGTACAGCAGTATAGGTATATATATATTTAAGTAGATTGTAATACCAAATTAATGTGCATACATCCGGGGCTAGATTAACTATGAATAAAGATTATATATTCAATGCCTGCCTACGGGGATAGTGCCTACTCAGTACTCGGTAGTCAACGTAGGTACTGATGGGTAATATAAATTACAAATTGCTGCTTGTTGAAATTACTTTTTCGGTACGCGGTAGTAATTATTTTGTTACATTTAAATTCAATTAACGCAAATTACTTTTAATACGTCATTTCTAAACGGGACAAGGAGTAACGTTATTTAATAATATTAGGTAATATTATGACTGTACGTCGAAACACAAAAACTGTATAGGATAACCGAAAACGTTGGATTGAGAAGAGGACATACATGGTACATTTAAATTTCTCTTGAAATTTCCTCAAAATTATAAACACCTTAAAAAAATTCCAGTAAAACGTGTTCTCTACAACAATATATACTTACGTCAATATATTATTATGTATTTATGTTTCATACAAAGCAAATTTATTTCGAGAAATAATTAAGTCTATTTTGACGTCATTGGTTTTGTACAATGTTGACAAAAATAATAACTGTCCAGTTCCCTCACCAGAATGACATTTTTTAATTCACCCTATGTAATGCGCGTAAAGTCCCGCGATCCTGCACCGCCGCCACTACGAGTATACTACGTTTATCGCGTCCCCTCACGTCAATCCCTATTGTACATTAGTTTACCATTTTGTCGTTTCCATTACGAATTCGTTCCCATTTTAGGCCATTTCTCGTTTATTTAGGAGTTCGGTATATTCCTTTTTTCTGTATGATAATATTATGCTCCACTTG